AATGACCAGTTTGTCCACAGTAGCGACAGTCGTCGTTCCGTGCGACAGCTCCTCCTTGTGCGCGACTTTCAAAGTGGGGCACAGAAGAATTGTTGCCTACTGGCCGCGACCGCTGTATGGGTGCTTCGCGAGCAGTCTGTACGAACGTCTTCAGCGCTTCCTGCAACTGAGTCTGTAGCTCTTTTTGGTGTAGAAGAAATGAGTCCTTCAAGTTGGAAATCGAGTTTTCCAACTCCTCAACCTTAGCATGGTTGGGTGGACTGGTCTCATAGTCGAAGCGAACCTTAGGAGGTCGCGCGATTATGGGAATTTCGTCTTCGTTGCTCAACGTCGATGCCATTTCTTCCGCCATTGTCATTAATTCTTTCAACTGGATGGGGTCGTCCTGCCGGTTGACTCCAGTCGCGGGGACATTAGCGTTTGCTATCCCGGCGCGAGTTTGGTAGCGCTTGTTGAATACTTGACTCGTAGCCAAAGCATTCCGCAAGACAGTACTGAACTCGGAGTCCAAAGTACGCATGTAGCGTTCACACGCGACTTTGTTGGTAATAATGGCAGGAGGGACTGACAGTCGCTTATAGTGACTGTACATTTGAAGGCCAAAACGCTTCAAATCTCCCTCATCCGTGATTTTGATTCCACGGTTCTCGCGACAGAGTCTATCTAGATCTGCCATGGTCCCCGTTTTTCGCTTGGATACCTCGGGGTATCCTTTCAAGATTTCGGCCTCGAACTCCGCGACAGTTTTCGTGTCGTCGGAATAGGTATCGAGACCTTCCCATACGTCCATCACTTGCCGCGACGGCAAATAACGAATGTACATGCTTTTTGCTTGTTTGACATCTGTGATGCCACCATCCTCCACGATCTGCGCGCAGTGACGCAAATATGCCTCAATCGACAGGGGATCCTTTTCATCAAGTATAGGTCTACTTGTGTCCCAAGGTTGAGGGATTTTGAACCCAGTCTTTGGAGCCATAGTTGTCGCGACTGAAGTCACAGGGGAAGTAGGGATGTTGTTAGAATTTGTGTTTGTAGCGTTGACGCTACTAGACAATTCTGAGAGGGTTTGTGAGCTAGTCTGAGATCGACTGATCGTCGTCGAACTCGAAGTAGCCGCGTCTAAAGCTGGAAGCTTCGACGTCGAATTCACTCTTTGTTTTCCTTTTGCCTTGGAAGGCAAGGGTGGTAGATACAAAGGTGTTTTATGTCTAGCAGACCTTCGTGGTTTTTTGAAAGGTCCTGAGGTTGAAGCGTTTCCTTCAGTCTCAATCTCCGCTTGGTCCTCGAGAGGTCGCGCAGGAGCTTGGGATCGAAATAAACTGCTTCGTGGGATAAACCCTTGGTCTCTATCCGACGTCGCGGTAAAGAATCCGGTTTATTGATTTTTAAAGTTTGTGAAACTTTAGAAGCCCCTCGCGGTGGGCTCCAGATGAAATGCTGAGGGCGTGCTCACAGGTGAATCTACTATGAAAGTAAACCCAAATATAAACACGTTCACACTCCTCGTAATCAGCTTCTCAGTGTGTGAAAGATGCGAGGGCTTCGGGGTGGACAGAACACCAGTATCACAACTCTCAATAGACGCAGATCCAATAGTCGCGGAGACGAAGTCGACGACAAGAATTTATATATAGCAAACAATGGTGTCTCAACCAATATCTTCTATATGAACACAACCAACACTAATCCAATCCACAACAACAATATAACAAGTCAGAACTTAATACAAAGTATTAAGGTCCCTTGTAGCGACAGCGTCTAGATGGTGACGCAAAGCCCAAATATCAAGTCGACGCACTGCCAACCGATACAACCAATGTACTGAGTCGATGCACTGCCAACTAGTAAACCAGAATGTCAAGTCGACGCACTGCCAACTGACACAACCAAAAGTACTGAGTCGACGCACTGCCAACTAGTAAACCAAAATGCCGCGTCGATGCACTGCCAACTAACAGCCAATATCCAATGTCCAAAACCCGAGCACAACTTGTCGACGCACTGCCAAGCAAGAAGTGTGGAACCAAAGTTCTCAAGTCGACGCACTGCCAACTGACCAAAACAACCCGAGCACAACTAGTTGACGCACTGCCAAGCTAGAGGTGTGGAAACGATCTCAACAAAGCCCGAAGGCGACGACACTAAATGCCGCGACTAAACCAGATGCGGCGAATCCGACTTTCTGATGTCTCAACTCAAACTCAAATCACAGTAGCTACAAGTGCTCGGGGAGCAACTCGTTGCGACCGGGCAGGGGTAGCAGAACTTCTTAGGGTGGAATCACGCGACACGCAAATTGTACAACACAATCTGATATGAGAGTGATTCACAGTCCGGGGGAAAGCTCCCCAATACAAAGAAACGACGTGCTACTTATACTGTCTACGACGATGCTTAGTAAAGTCCTGTACAACTGCATAGTAGCTATGCTATCTAAGATCGGTTGCCTTTTAGGGTAATTGAAAAGTTGAACGATCGGACAGGACCTGAGTGATCAGGACCCCGCCCCATGGTCCATATGATACTTTTGATGTGGGTCAACCCACCGCGTCATACTTTTGGAATACGACGTGCTGGATTGGCCAACAGGTATGTCTTGGCAGGTGAGTCCAACGTGGGCGCCCCAAGAAGCCGTATGGCCCTAGGCACGCCAGTCGTCCCTCACATGGTTCGGTTCACGGATCTAGCCGTGTTGATTTTAGTGTGTTTGGGTATGGGCGCGACTCGCCGTGACACTTGGAAGTGTCACCGCGACGCGTCCACAATGTCCCGTGATCGAATGGATCCTGACATGTGACAAGTCGTCGTTGTGGCATGATCTGAGGAAACGTCCAACTCAAAACCGGGAGTTGCCGCGACAAGATTGGTTCAATCTCGTAACGCCAAGTCCTGTCCAGTAGTAGTCGTATTATTGAGAACGTCGCACATTGCTCAGCCCTTCAGCCCAAGTTCCCATCTGCAGAGAATGACCCTTTTGAGAAGTCGACGCAACGAAAGATCCCTTCTTGGGGAATGGTCGCGGTCCAAGCGTTCGTCACTAATGGCCCTGAGCCTGGTATAGACTCGTAAGACCAGTTCCACAGTAGTGGTCTGACTGCCTTGCTATCGTCGACACTATCCACAGTCGTTGACTGGGCAGTAGACCCTTAAGTCCTACTGAGCGCAACACTGTCAACCGCGACACGATACACCGAGTGGTTCAAGAGTAAACTCTGTAAAAAGCGCAAAAATACGCCCTTACAGAGCTGGTGCAGAGCGCGTCTGGTAGCCAGCCTATCATCGTGATACACATCTATAACTGTTGAAGTTGGGAATCCCAGCACCAAGGCAGAATAGCTCAGTGGTTAGAGCACTGGACGATCCAAGTCAGAGGTCCCAGGTTCAATTCCTGGCTCAGCCATTTTATCAACAATAACTTCATCACGTGTTATCTACAGTCATATCAACTTGTACCAAATAGACACAAACAGCCCCCTGTATCATATATAAGGAGGGCTCTATTACCCTTTAATACAAGTCTCTTGACTACTCCCGCATAGTGCCCACACTAAGCTCTCACTCACACAGGTAAGCTGCTAGACGCTCTCCCCAGTGCTCAACAGGTTATGGGCCCCGAGAGCTATGTCTGCACCTCAATGGCCACGACATTCATTGTATGCGCTGTCACTGGCTGCAACGATGAGCAGCGTCTTTAGCCTATCTGTATTCACTTCAGCTGCTGCATAGCGCTGGTGAAACCATGCCAGATTGCGATTACATTGCTTGATCCAGATGCATCAATCTCTGAAGGAGATTATGATCTATAAGGATCTGATCATCTTGATCTTTGATTTCATCTATCAGATTAGATTGATGCTCATCACTTACACAGATCTAACATGTCCAACTCTCTTCTCTCCTCTGTCGCAATCTTCGATGGCAAGAACTGGACCTCTTGGGAGAGTCTCATGACTTCCTTCTTGGAGTCTCAAGGCATTGCCTATGTGATCCTCAAGAAATGTGCTACTTGCATCGCGAACGACGATGGAGAAGTAACCAACAAATCCAACATTTGCCAATAGAAGACCGATGACCTAAAGGCCAAAGGCAGCATTAAGTTGCACCTGACCGAGGTTGTTAGGGCTAACATTCCAGAATCGAATGCGACTTCCGCTGCTGGGATCTGGAACTATCTGACTGAACAATATAGCGGCACCAAGTCTGCGGACCTGTTTGCGCTGTTCCAGTCGGCATTGGACGCCAAGTACAACGCCACCCTGCATCCGGATCCTCAGCTGCTGATCCCTGAAACCGCCTTCAAGCATCTCAATGAGCAGGATTTGAAAATCCCTGAGTTTCTCAAGGCGATGATCATCCTGAACGTCGCCCACATCTCCGCGGTGACCATGCATGTTCTTCAGAATACTCCGAAGGACAAGATGATGATCAAAGTTGTTTGTGAGGCTCTCTTGAGCTATTACGCTCAGGACCACGGCAACAAGAATCAGGTCACCAAGTTCAATACCAAGCGTAAGCGCAATGACCCTTCCTTCTCCAATCAGCAACAGGGCTCCGGCTCTGCACCCGATAAGGGTGATAAGGCTGATGGGAAGAAGAAGAACCGTTGAGGCAAGCACAGTGGGAAGAACCAGGACAAGGGCAAGGGCAAGGCCGACCACGGTCATGTCCATGACGTCTCCAAGATAGCTGGTGCGATCACCATTGGTTTGATCGCTTCCCTCACTCCGTCTCATCCTGCGCCAACGATCTCGCATGTCACACACATCTCTCGCGATGGACCTAAAATCCGCGTGGTTCAAGAGAAGTCTCCTGTTAACAACAATGGGATTATTGACACCGAGTTCCAGAAACCTACTCGCAAGGTCTTTGAGCTTGCCAAGAAGATGGACGTGACGGTGACCGCAGAATGCTTCCGGACTCTTGACAAGATTGTCAATAAGAAAGGAATGCTCCATGAGGACGCAATCATGCGTTCTCCATCTCCGGTCGCTTCGGGTTCGAATCAGACTCTGGATGATGGTCCTCCGACCAAGCGCAGTCGCATCGAGGAAATCCCCGACGTCGAGATGGCCACCGGCCAACAGAACGATCTTGATCTTCTGTTTGGAGACAGCGAGTTTGCCCAGGCTGAACCAGTCAACCGGGATGAGGTCGTCGACTTCAACACCCTTCTGGAGGAGATGGACGCTCCTTCCGCTGAAAGGCAAGTACCCTGCCTTCTTGGGCATATGCACAATTCTGATTGTTGCTCACAGCCAGAGCGCGTAATCACCGCCGCCCCGGGTTCTGTACTTAATTCGTTGATGATTTGTTCGCATGATTTTTGTACCAATCTATTCTGTGTGCACTCCAATTTTGCTGCCTGCTCTAAGTGTAAGGGGAAACATCATCATCATCATGAATTAGGGCCTCTATGGCTTCTTGATTCTGGTGCATCCCTCCATGTGACATCGGAGATTAGTGATCTGGTCGGATATGAGAAACTCTCAGATCCTATTGTTGCTCAGACCGCTGATAAGAACACACATGTTGCCCTTATTGGTTGAGGAACAGCCTTTATCAATCATTACGTCACAAGGCATGGAGAAAAGACTATGGTGACTTCTCAAATATATCCAGTGTACCTAGTGCCAGGATTACATGGTTGTCTCGTGTCTTTGGGCTCCTTACTCAAAGGAGGATCTTGCGTTCGTGGAGACAAATCGCGGATCAGCTTACATCAAGGGAAGTCCCCACTCTCGATCATGGAGTTTAGAACTCTAGGGAAGGACATTGCCTTGTACTTCCTGATGTCGAAGCCTAGCACGGCTGAGACAGTGCGATCCATGTCCACTGTTTACAAGGTGGATTATGAGATCATGCACCGGCGATTTGCACATCCGTCGAAAGACATTTTACATCAGGCAAAGAAAAATACCAAGGGCTTTCCAGAAGACCTAGTATTTCCCAAGGAAACCTGACCATGTAAAGGATGCGCATAAGGGAAAATGCACCAACGTGCCTTCCCGCCTTCTGAAAAACAAGCAGAGAATCCGTTTGATTTGATCCACTCGGATCTCAAACAATTTCCCATGGTGTCTTATCACAAGTACCGTTACTTCATGAGCTTCTTCAACAAAGCACTCTCCTATGGCTGGACAGTATGCCTTGCGCAGAAATCCGACGCCAAGCAGGCTATGCGCAATTTCATTGCAATGGTCAAAAACCAGTTCAATGTCACCATCAAAAAGTGGCATATTGACAATGGGGGAGAATTCATGGGGATGGGAATGGAAGAATTTCTTGCGGAACAAGGAATTCTAGTGGAGAAGGGTGCTCCATATGCTCACCAGCAGAATGGGCATGCCAAGCGCTTCAATCGTACGATCATGGATAAGGCAGAAGCCATGCGCTTCACTGCCTGTCTTCCTAATTCATATTGGGAATTCACGATAAAACATGTGACACGGATCTACAATATGACACCTATCAGGCATCTAAAATGGAAAACTCCATTTGAAGCTCTTCACAAGGAAAAACCGGATGTTTCCGAACTCCGAGTCTTTGGTAGTGCTGCATATGTCTTTATCCCCGATGAGAAGCGTGCCAACAAGTTATCACCCAAATCGGAGCTGATGACCTACTTGGGCATTCCTGATGGTGTGAAAGGATTTTTATTCATGTGCACAAACAATTCCATGTTCGTCGCCACCAAGGCATTGTTTGACGAGGAGTTGTTCCCACGCTGTCCTGACAGCAATCGACCACCCCACGTTCCTGTTGGAGAGGAATTTCCAGAACGTGATGACCCAGTGAATCCACAAGATCCACCACAGGTAGACGGAGAAGATTGGCTATATGGAGATGATCCTTTTCCATTTCCTATGCCATCTGATTTGGCTCCACCACCTCCCGTACGAGGAAATGATGATGGTGACAACGGTCATAATTGTCAGGACCCACCCCCAGAGCGTCAGGATGAACCTCAGAGGTCTCGTAGGAGTAGAATTCCACGACCAAGTCAGGCAGCTTCACCAGCTCCTGAGCCTCGAAGGTCTTCACGCCAGCGGAATGTGCCTACACGTCCAGGAAGCGTCTATGGGGAAAAGTGTAACCCTACGGACATAGTCCGTGACATTCAGAACAGTAGAGGCTGGAAGCGGTATGTTGGTGAAGATAAGGGTAGCTCCCAATCTCAACCATCAACCGGTGCTGATGCAGGGGTTCCCGGCCCTAGCTCGCAACCAGATTCCTCAAACGCAGGTGCTTCTGATAATCTAGACGAGCATGCACGCTGATAGGCTGGCTACCAGACACGCTCTGCACCAGCTCTGTAAGGGCGTATTTTTGCGCTTTTTACAGAGTTTACTCTCGAACCATTCGGTGTATCGTGTCGCGGTTGACAGTGTTGCGCTCAGTAGGACTTAAGGGTCTACTGCCCAGTCGACGACTGTGGATAGTGTCGACGATAGCAAGGCAGTCAGACCACTACTGTGGAACTGGTCTTACGAGTCTATACCAGGCTCAGGGCCATTAGTGACGAACGCTTGGACCGCGACCATTCCCCAAAAAGGGATCTTTTGTTGCGTCGACTTCTCAAAAAGGGTCATTCTCTGCAGATGGGAACTTGGGCTGAAGGGCTGAGCAATGTGCGACGTTCTCAATAATACGACTACTACTGGACAGGACTTGGCGTTACGAGATTGAACCAATCTTGTCGCGGCAACTCCCGGTTTTGAGTTGGACGTTTCCTCAGATCTTGCTACGGCGACGACTTGTCACATGTCAGGATCCATTCGATCACGGGACATTGTGGACGCGTCGCGGTGACACTTCCAAGTGTCACGGCAAGTCGCGTCCATACCCAAACACACTAAAATCGACACGGCTAGATCCGTGAACCGAGCCATGTGGGGAACTACTGGCGTGCCTAGGGCCATACGGCTTCTTGGGGCGCCCACATTGGTCTCACTTGCCAAGACATACCCGTTGGCCAATCCAACACGTCGTATTCCAAAAGTATGACGCGGTGAGTTGGCCCACATCAAAAGTATCATATGGACTATGGGGCGGGGTCCTGATCACTCAGGACCTGTCCGATCGTTCAACTTTTCAATTACCCTAAAAGGCAACCAATCTTAGATAGCGTAGCTACTATGCAGTTGTACAGGACTTTACTTAGCATCGTCGTAGACAGTATAAGTAGCACGTCGTTTCTTTGTATTGGGGAGCTTTCCCCCGGACTGTGAATCACTCTCATATCAGATTGTTTTGTACAATTTGCGTGCCGCATGATTCCACCCTAAGAAGTTCTGCTACCCCTGCCCAGTTGCAACAAGTTGCTCCCTGAGCGCTTGTAGCTACTGTGATTTGAGTTTGAGTTTTGAGACATCAGAAAGTCGGATTCGCCACATCTGGTTTTAGTCGCGGCATTTAGTGTCGTCGCCTTCGGGCTTTGTTGAGATCGTTCCACACCTCTAGCTTGGCAGTGCGTCAACTAGTTGTGCTCGGGTTGTTTTGGTCAGTTGGCAGTGCGTCAACTTGAGAACTTTGGTTCCACACTTCTTGCTTGGCAGTGCGTCAACAAGTTGTGCTCGGGTTTTGGACATTGGATATTGGCTGTTAGTTGGCAGTGCATCGACGCGGCATTTTGGTTTACTAGTTGGCAGTGCGTCGACTCAGTACTTTTGGTTGTGTCAGTTGGCAGTGCGTCGACTTGACATTTTGGTTCTACTAGTTGGCAGTGCGTCGACTCAGTGTATTGGTTGTATCGGTTGGCAGTGCGTCGACTTGATATTCGGGCTTTGCATCACCATCTGGACGCTGTCGCTACAAGGGATCTTAATACTCCGTATTGAGTTCTGACTTGTTATATTATTGTTGGTTGTGATTGGATTAGTGTTGGTTGTGATTCGTATAGAAGATATTGGTTGAGACACCATTGTTTGCTATATATAAATTCTTGTCGTCAACTTCGTCTTCCGCGACTATTGATCTGTGTCTATTGAGAGTTGTGATACTGGTGTTCTGTCCACCCCGAAGTCCTCACATCTTTCACACACTGAGAAGCTGATTACGAGGAGTGTGAACGTGTTTATATTTGGGTTTACTTTCATAGTAGATTCACCTGTGAGCACGCCCTCAGCATTTCAACGCATGGAGAAGCTATGCCGGGAAGGGGGAGTAGAGCTCATCACGGCGCTGCTGTCAAAAGCAGTTCCAAATGAGAACCTACCTGATATGTCCAAAATTTGCAATTGGACATTTTGCAATATCAAGCAGTTGCCTTCTGAACAACAGAAAGGTTGGATTGATGCTTGCCGCGACGAGTTAGAGGCACTTTGTCAGTGCAAGGTCTATTCCCTTGTGGACCGTCCAAAAGGACGGAAGGTTATCAGATGTTGCTGGGTCTTTGACCAAAAATCTGATGGCCGAAAACGTGCCACCTAGTTGCCAAGGGTTTCAGTCAAGTTGAAGGTGTTGACTATGACGAGATATTCTCTCCTGTTGTCAGGTATGAGACGTTCCGGCTGGTCATGGCGCTTGCAGCGCTAAATGATTGGCATTGATCTGGACTCGATGTCAGTAAGGCTTTTCTCTATGGAGAGCTTGACAAAGAGGTCTACATGGAATAACCCAAAGGCTTTGTGGCAAGAGGCCAAGAGTGCAAAGTCATGCGCTTGCACAAGACAATCTATGGACTCAAACAAGCTGCTTTAGTATGGTGGAAAGCGCTGACCAAGTCCACGAAAGCCATGGGCTGGATCCGACTAACATCGGATGCCGGCATGTTCTTCTACAAGGACTCTGATGGCAGCATAGCCGTCATAATAGTTTATGTGGATGATGCACTGTTCTTCTCCAAGAACAAGAAGCTCCTCGCCTTTCTCAAGGCTGAGTTCAACAAGCGATGGGAATGCCGCAATTCTGAAGATACTCCAGAGTTCTTGCGCGTACGCCTCAGTAGAGTCAGACCTTCGATCAAAATTGATCAGATTCCTTATCTCGACAAGGTGCTAGAGTGCTTTGGAATGCAGAACGCCAAGTTCGCAGCGACCCCTCTACCGGCTGGATATGTTCCAATGCCAAACAAGGATGAAGTCGATCCAGAGCTCAGGAAGAAATTCCAATCAGTAATTGGATCTCTTCTCTTCATCATGCTAGGCACACGTCCTGACATTGCATTTGCTGTGACAAAATTGTCACAATTTGCCGCCAATCCATCCCAAGACCACCTCCATAAAGCGCTGTATATCTGCCGCTATTTGGCTGGTACCAGGAATTATTTGCTCATTTTCAATGGTGCGACGGATAGAGGGCTAATTGCATTTAGCAATTCAGACTGGGCTGCTGATCCAATCAAGAGGAGGTCCACCACTGGTTTCTTCACGAAATTGGCAGACGGGATTATTTGCTGGCAGTCTAGACTTCAGCGCACTGTCGCACAGTCTTTGACCGAAGCAGAGTACATGGCGATTTCAGATTGTAGTTGCCAGGTGATGTGGCTGAAGAGCGTCCTTTTGGAACTCCAGTTCAAGCTCTCCATCCCAGGACCCATTTGCGGTGACAATCAGGGTGCACTTTTCAGTGGCAGCAATGCCTACCAAGACTGCAGGATGAAACACATAGACATCCACTATCACTACATCCGTGAGCGAGTCGAGGAAGAAGAGGTTGAACTGTTCTTTATTCCGGGCAGTGAGAATCCTGCAGATATGTTCACCAAGAACCTAGGACGCGTCAAGTTCGAGAAGTTCAGGTCTCAACTAGGACTTGAGTTCAACTCATCCTGAAGGAATGGCCAATGAAGATTTCGCTTTCAAACACTATCCCGTGGTTTTCATTGTGGGGGAGTGTTGATCAAATATCATCTGTCAAGATGGATGTCGTGATAACTCCACCACGTGTCATCTAGAGTCATATTGACTTGTACCAAATAGACACAAACAGCCCCCTGTATTATATATAAGGAGGGCTCTATTACCCTTTAATAAAAGTCTCTTGACTACTCCCGCATAGTGCCCACACTAAGCTCTCACTCACACAGGTGAGCTGCTAGACGCTCTCCCCAGTGCTCAACAGCACTTAGTGTCATTGCCTTTGGGCTTTGTTGAGATTGTTTCCACACCTCTAGTTTGGCAGTGCGTCGACTAGTTGTGCTCGGGTTGTTTTGGTCAGTTGGCAGTGCGTCGACTTGAGAACTTTGGTTCCACACTTCTTGCTTGGCAGTGCGTCAACAAGTTGTGCTCAGGTTTTAGACATTGGATATTGGCTGTTAGTTGGCAGTGCGTCGACGCGGCATTTTGGTTTTACTAGTTGGCAGTGCGTCGACTCAGTACTTTGGTTGTATCAGTTGGCAGTGCGTTGACCCGATATTTGGGCTTTGCATCGCCATCTGGACGCTATTGCTACAAGGGATCTTAATACTTTGTATTAAGCTCTGACTTGTGATATTGTTGGTTGTGGTTGGATTAGTGTTGGTTTTGGTTGTATAGAAGATATTGGTTGAGACACCACTGTTTGCTATATATAAATTCTTGTCGTCGACTTTGTCTTCCGCGACTATTGGATCTGCGTCAATTGAGAGTTGTGATACTGGTGCTCTGTCCACCCCAAAGCCCTCGCATCTTTTACACACTGAGAAGCTGATTACGAGGAGTGTGAACGTGTTTATATTTGGGTTTACTTTCATAGTAGATTCACCTGTGAGCGCGCCCTCAGCATTTCAGCGGGACAACTGCAAGACCTAGCATCAGGTGTATTGCCAATTGAGCCAGCGAAGACAGCTTACCATGTCAAGACTGTTCTGACAGGCAGGGCCACCATAACCAAGACATTCCGACGCCGACAGTATCCGATCACAGGCGCATACACATTCACAGACTACTGCTCTCAAGGCCAGACAATAAAGCGCGTCATTGTTGACATAGCCACACCTCCATCAGGCGGGCTAAGCTTGTTCAACCTGTATGTGGCATTATCAAGAATTTCGGGCAGGGAGATGATCTGACTGCTACGCAATTTCGAAGACAAGACTTTCTGGCAGAGCCACAATCCAGCTCTTCTGGCTGAAGACGATAACCTGGAGAAATTGAACGAGGCAACACGCCAATGGTGGACGTGGATGTCAAGAACAGAGTCGGAAGTAAATGCAACTGAGGAGGAAAACTCAATGCAAATAGAAAGCGTGCCATTGTAAAGTTGTCAAATCTGCCATACCAGTGAGCCTTAGTGGCACACAGGAGAACAGGAACGCTAAGACCGTCTGACTGAATGACAAGGGGCATGACGGTGTCCAAGCAGAGAACCGTTGAGAAAAAAATTGAGGCAATAAAGCCGATAGTGGCCAAGTGCTTGCAAGGTGGAAACAAGTAGAGGCAACAGAAATGCACTACAACAGCGGCAAACAGGTACGGGTCATATTGGTAAGTAACATGCGGAAGGAGCCAGCAACATTTTGATGCAAATTATGAGGCTGGAGAAGCCTTGTCAAGCAAGGCAATTATGACAGGCATGCCCTCAGCATTTCATTGTCACAGAAGAGGAGACAATTGGCTAGAGGAATAAGAAAATGATAAAAAGTGCATGTGCCCATGGTGCTATACACTTCTGGTGGTGACCAAGTCACATGCACCATAGTTAACTTAGTCTTTCTGACACAATAGTCAACAGGCCAAGTTCATCCAGCAACCTACAACCAAGGTGTTTAGTGGACTCATTGACAAGCAAGCCTAAAATCATTTGCTAATCTTGGTTCACAAGTAAACACTGAGAGGATCTAGTATCTGTGGTACTGGCTATAGCCAGGCTGAGAGGGCGGGGCAGGTGGTGGTAGAGGAGTATTGTATTTCTCATTTGTGTTGGAAAGTGTTGCAATATTTGCATAAGGGTCATGGGGTGGTGGGGGAGGAGGAAGAGAAGAATAGAAAGTTGAGGCAGGTGGTGGTGGCAATGGTGGTGGCACGTATGTTGTGGGTAGCAATGGGGGAGGTGGAGGCGGCGATTGCCATGACACATAGGATGACTGTTTAGGGGCTAGCTGACTCACTAGCTGTTGCCGCTCTTCATTTCGCCCTGATACAAATGCTTTCACGTTGCGTCGAAGCTTGGCCGTGAGTTCTGTCAACTCTGAATAGAACTGAAGACCTTTCCTGGAAGGCAATGACAAGATGCAAAGCGGAGTAGAAGAATGCATACCCTAGCCCGTCGCGCACTTCATTATAACGGTCTTTTGCACTGCCAAACCGTTGAAGAAGTTCTGTCTTTCTCCTTTCCCGGTTTTCCCATTTGCGGAAGGGACCAGTGGTCAAAATGGAGTCATTTAATAACCTCCAAGAACGATCCAGTTCTTGGAGCATTGCATCTTGATGGTGAATAGTCGCAGCAAGCCGCTGCTGATACGGTCGGAACTTCTCCAGTTCGGCAGCAAACAACGAGGGCTCGACACCAGTGTTTCTGCGATTGAGAAGGAGGAGATGGGACACATCATCCGCCTGAATCTGATTCCGGAGATCATTACTTGTTGGGTGAAAGCAGACAATGGGACGCCCACCTTATCTTTCAGATCTTTCAAAACTTCTGTTCTCTCTCTCTCGATCTTCTTGAGTGTGGACAGATGTTCCTCGGCGTCCTGGATGAGACTAGCGAGCTTGTCCTTGTCCTGCCGCTCCTGTCTGTCCGCCTCTTCCCCAAGATCCAGCAAGCTCATCTGTTCCGTAAGCGGTTCAGCGAACACAGCTTCGAAGCGACCGGACACCAGCAGAGCAATATCCGATTGGATAGCCTGCCAGATAGCTTGGACTTGGGCATCGCTCTTGGCAGCCTCATCCATCGCAGCTAGATGGGCCTTCAAATCCTGGCGCAAGGATTTAGTGAGACCGGCGCTCGGCGCTTGCGTCCATCGATGCTCGAACCGAACGCGCATCATCTCGCATTCACGGCTCTCCGAATCGAGCTCGAGTGAAATCCCCCCTGCCGGATCTAATTCATGTTGCAGAGCTTGCTTCAGCTTCTCCAACTGGGCGAACAACGACGGCACACTTTCTCGAGCCTCCAGAGAGGCGAGATCCGTTGCCCAGCGCGAGATCTCGGCCGGCGGCCCACCAGACCCAGACTCACGAAGCATCGCACGAAACCGTTCCAGCCCAGTAACCACACCCAAGCCGTCAACGAAGCTGCGCGCTTCAACGTTAGCTGTTTCGCATCGCTCGGTTTCGGCCCGCACGAGTTTCGCCTTCTCCTCTGAATAGACGGATGCACTTTCGTGCACGCTGAGAGGGACAAGCCGAGAGAAGAAATCCTGACCGATGGTCTTCTGGACATCAGGATTGCCATAAACTTCTTGGATCGGAATCGGAGTTGCGATTGTCATCATCGCTTTGGTCTCTATAGATGGAAGGCTGTCCAGCGAGGGTACCACTGCGTTGTAAATGAGGTCGTTCTCTCGGTATGCAGTTGCACGTCGGTCAGAGACAACCGCCAGATGAGCTTTTGCCAGAGCGAGCATACTCGAGCCGGCGTCTGATGGGAAAGTGCTCGAGTTGGGTGTGGTAGAACTGGCTGGAATCGGGTTGAATGACGAGCATAAGCGATAAGCCTCCTTGGCATGCGTTTCGGCGAGAGTCAGGCGCGCAAGCGCATCTCCATATAAGCCAGCGTCCGTGTCTGCCAGAGAACGGTGGTACTGTGCTTCGGACGTCATGTATTTGGACTTGATCTGTTCGCGTGGAATGAGGGACTACTCGGGGAGATTTACTGCCGGCTCATACCTGTATCAGGGTGACCCAATTCCTATCCAAGATATTCTGCCCTGAAAACTCCTTCACTTCTTCGCAGAGCACATTGTACATGTTTGCAGCTTGAGACGCGATCTTCGATATGAGCCCACTCCCTTTCTTCTCTTCTACACATTTCTCCCAGAACACCTCAGTCGCCTGCGCGATAATGAGGCTCACGAGAAACTTGACGACCTCCTTGCTCAGATCCTTCGATGGCGCGTGAAGGAAGTTCTCCGTGATGTACGTCAGCATTCCCGCGCAAGTACGGAAGTAGTAGAATGCGCGCTTAAGACCTTCAGGGGAGGACCGGTTCTGGGAAATAGCAATAGAGGAGTGTGTTGAGGCGATTTGAAAAAGGATCGAGGCCTTCTCGTATGCGATCGATGTCTGCGTGGTGAGCTTGAGAGTGAACGCGTCGTGCCAGGGAAAGCTGACGCGGATCTCGGAGAAACGTAGTTCCAGAAGCTCGAGCTGACCGAAGTACTTGTAAAGTAGATCTTTGGCTGTCAAGTCACTACCAGCCCCGCGAACGGCATCCTGGCGGCAACGTTGGAGGGAGGCGCACTCTGCAGCGTAGCTGTCTGGATTCTCGCCGTAAGACTGGGCTATTAGGTTTCGGATCGGAGTCGTCCAGTCGACCTCTTCCGTGGTCTTCCGAGGAATCGATATCATAGGTGTTTGGGACATGATAGCTGGCAAGGAGCGATAGCGCAGCACCGAGTGTCCGGAGTGCCTGTCGATGATGCGGTGATTGATCCTATTTGTAAGTGATTGGGCCGATGAAAAAATCAGCCCTCGTTTTGACTTCATCTCTCAGACATGGCATTTGGTCTGTACTTGTCGTTTCGCATTATGTTCTCTCATCCGTTCTAAAGGTGAATCTGGTGGACGTGGCGGTTTTTCACGCGGCGGGGGACGAGGACGTGGCGGAGGAGGTGATCGGGGAGGAAGAGGCGGTCGTGGAGGACCAGGTGGGTTCCGGGGTGGTGGACGAGGTCAGTGCCATGCCCATCTTAACTCTGATCATCATTGAATGTTTTTTCAAAGGCGGAGGTGTACGTGGAGGCGGCGTCACGGCTCGAGGTGGTCGCGGTGGATTTGGAGGTGGTCGCGGAGCTGGAGGCCGGGGTGGTCGCGGTGGAGGTCGAGGTGGAGGCCGGGGTGGGGCGAAGGGCGGGTCTAATACCGTGCTTGAGCCTCATCGTCATCCTGGAATCTTTATTGCCAAAGGCAAGGAGCACATGTTGGTCACTAAGAACCTAGTTCCGGGAGAGTCGGTGTACGGCGAAAAACGCATATCCATTGACGGCGGCGTTGAAGGCACAAAAATCGAATATCGGGTCTGGAATCCCTTCCGAAGCAAGCTCGCCGCCGGCGTTCTCGGTGGGCTGGAACACATCTTCATTCAACCCGGAAAGAAGGTGCTATATCTGGGTGCAGCGAGCGGGACCAGTGTCAGTCATGTTGCAGACATTGTTGGACCGGTAGGTTCCCTCCGCCTCGCGGCCCTTTCCGTGCTTTGCTGATTAGTTTCTACCATCCTACTAGGAGGGAGTTGTCTATGCAGTCGAATTCTCCGCGCGCTCAGGCCGTGACTTGATAAACATGGCCAAAAAGCGGACTAATGTCATTCGTGCGTTGGCATCTTGAGCGCTTCCACCCGTTGATTAATCTAATCTCTCGGCAGCTATCGTCGAGGATGCTCGCCTACCGAACAAATATCGCATGCTCATTTCCACTGTGGATGTGATCTTTGCAGATGTTGCCCAACCTGACCAGGCACGTATTGTTATGCACAATGCGAGGAGTTTCCTGCGAGATGGTGGTCACGTGGTGATTTCCATCAAAGCAAGTTGTATCGACTCAGTCGCACCGGCAGACGTGGTCTTCGCGTCTGAAGTCCAAAAGCTCAAAGAGGGTCAGTTCAAGCCCATCGAGCAAGTCACTCTCGAGCCTTATGAGCGTGACCATGCCATGGTATCAGGTCCGTACTTGTGGTTTCTCATCTCATCTAAACTGACCGATTATTTACTCAGCCCAATACCGACGGCACATAGTTTGAAGCCTTTTCATTACCTCTCGTAGACATTTGTTGTATCTAATACCTTTTTTGATGCTCTCCCCACATTTTGGTGTGGTCTTTGTGTCAAGGGAACCCTGTCGAAGGCCCTCGAAGGTTCAAGATCATTCCCGATTTAGTATATAGGTCTCGCACAGTATTTTTTCGAGCATCGCCACCCACAACTGCACCATTTTTCCTTCTCCCTCATGGCTGTCGTCGGAATCGATTTTGGATCGCTACACAGTAAAGTGAGTGCATGGCCTTACTCCATCTCCTCCCACTCAGCTTCGACCAGATCGGTGTCGCGAGACACCGGGGTATCGACATTATCACAAATGAAGTCTCCAACCGCGCAACTCCGTGGGTGCTGTCTCTTTCTGCTCATCAGCCTCAGTTCAACCGCCCGTATTTCAGTTCACTAGTTGCCTTTGGTCCCAAGCAGAGGTCGATCGGAGAATCAGCAAAGACACAAGAAACCTCCAATTTCAAAAATACCATCGGTTCCCTGAAGCGATTGATCGGTCGCACTCTCAATGACTCCGAAATCCAGAACGTCGAGAAAAAGTACCTGAATGCTGCTCTTGTTGATGTCGAGGGGACTGTGGGCGTTCAGGTGCGCGGTGTCTCATTTGCTCGCATGCTGTCGACGATGTTCACATGGACGCTATAGGTCAACTACGTCGGCGAGCGTCAAAGCTTCTCTGCTACTCAACTCGTTGGCATGTATCTCGGCAAGTTGCGTGATATCGCTGCCAATGAGCTCAAGACTGGAGTAACGGACGTGGTCATCGCAGTCCCGGGATGGTTCGCGGACATTCAGCGACGTGCTCTGCTCGACGCAGCTGCGATTGCGGGTCTCAACCCCCTGCGTTTGATCAACGATACCACCGCCGTGGCATTGGGCTATGGAATCACGAAATCCGACCTGCCTGAGGAAGATGCCCCCCGGCATGTCATCTTTGTCGATGTTGGTCACTCCAGTTTGTCGGCATCCGTCGTAGGGTTCTCTAAGGGTCAACTTGTGGTCAAAAGCTCTGCATATGATCACAACCTTGGTGGTCGTGACATCGACTTCGCCTTGGTCCGGCACTTCTCCGAGGAGTTCAAGACCAAGTACAAGATCGATGTGCTTTCGAACCCAAAGGCGACCTTCCGACTTGCTGCTGCTTGTGAGAAGCTCAAGAAAGTGCTTTCAGCGAACGCAGAGTCGCCACTCAATGTGGAGTCAATCATGAACGACATCGATGCTTCGTCCAAGCTTACAAGAGAAGCGCTCGAGGAGCTCGTTGCTCCCGTTCTCGCCCGGATCACAGCTCCGCTCCAGCGCGTCTTGGCCGACTCTGGGTTGACTTTGGATCAAATTGACGCGATCGAGCTTGTCGGTGGTTCGACCCGTGTCCCGGCTGTCCGTGCTCGGATCCAGGAGGTATTCCCCGGGAAAGTCCTGTCGACGACGCTCAATCAGGACGAAGCTATTGCCCGTGGGGCGACTTTCGCGTGTGCTATGCTATCTCCCATCTTCCGCGTTCGCGATTTCCACATGCAGGATGTGGCCCACTATCCAATCAAGGTTCAATGGACGTCGTCGCCCTCCGATCCAGACGAGGACACAGAACTCGTCGTATTCAACAATGGTGACAAAATGCCTTCTACCAAGGTTCTGTCTTTCTACCGGAAAGACACCTTCGACCTCGAGGCCGTGTATGCCGACCCAGCTGGCTTACCCGGGACAATCAACCCATTCATCAGTCGTATCACAGTGAAGGAGGTGCCGGCTGATCCCAAGGGCGACTCGACCTGTGTTCGTGTGAAGACGCGGCTGAACCAGCATGGAATTGTGTCTTTCGAAGGGGCCTACATCGAGGAAGTTGAAGAGAGAGACGAGCCTGTTGCCATGGACATTGACCCTGCTACCGAGGGCGCCACTCCACCTCAGCCCAAGAAGAAACGGGTCAAGAAGAAAGAGATTGCATTCTTCACAGCCTCCGCTTCGTTGGACCCTGCCGTTGTGCAGAGTCTTCGTGAGCAGGAAAATTCGATGCACGCCGCAGACAAACTCGTAACCGATACTGAGGTCTGCCGTGTTTCTATCGAGCCAAAACTGTGCTGACCTCTCAAAAGGACCGTAAAAATGCACTCGAAGAATATGTCTACGACACTAGGGGCAAACTAGACGAACGGTTTGCCCCGTACGTCAAGGCTGACGAGAAGGCCAAGCTCCTCGTAGCTCTGCAGGAGGCTGAAGACTGGCTGTACACCGAAGAGGGTGAAGATGCCTCCAAATCGGCATACGTCTCTCGTTTGGACGCCCTCAAAGCGCTCGGGGATCCAATCACCTTCCGATTCCGGGAGGCCGAGACTCGTCAGAGCGCGATTGCTCAGCTCCGAGAGACCCTGAACACATATATGTCACAGGCTACCTCGGGTGATGAGAAGTACTCTCACATCGAGCAGAAGGACAAGGACAGCGTCGTTGAGAAAGTTGCCACTGTCCAGAAATGGCTTGAGGATCAGATCGTTCGCCAGGCTGAGGCCCCGAAAAACGTCGAGCCCATTCTCAAGAGCGCCGACATCGGCAAGAAACGCGACGAGGTCATCTACTTTGCGACGCCGATAATGACCAAGCTGAAGCCTAGAATCCCTGGCGGAACATCCGGCACCGAGACTCCCAAGAACGAGCCCGAACCTACTCCCAAGCCAGACAGTGAGGCCCCTGGTCCTTCGGAGATGGACATAGATTAGATCACACCTAAGTACGACACGGTTGTTTGATTAGATGAATCCATTGTATTTTTCTGTACACCCCGAACCAATCGACGTGTCACACCTCGTGTGACACACTGCTCAGATTCTGAGTTTTGACCACGTTACACTAGTTCCCTTCACCTTCCTCGAATGTCTTCTCCGCCTCCACTACGCCATCCCGTCCCAACACATCCAGCGTATATCCCTGAGCCTCCATCAACCCCCGGCTCTCCCCAAGGATATCAACGTTTTTCATCTTCGCCTCAGCCCGCTCCAACTCTCAACCAGCCAGCTTACGCCCACCATGTTCCCGCATATACATCCCCATTCCAACATCAGCAACAACACCAGCCGCCTGTTCCCTCCGGCCAACAACCACCACCACCTCCGATGATCCCTGCGCAGTTAGGGCCTTGGGGGATGAATGACGCCACCGCACAATTTGGGATGCAATTAGGACAAAGTGCGGTAGCTGCTGGGCAGGAATACGTGCAACGCACTGTGATCTTCTTCCCAGCTCCTTTATTTTCCAGTGTGCTGACTCTTATTCAAGTGGGGTGGCGTCTTTCCCAGTGCACGTGTGAAACCTCATTTCAACGTCTCGAATTCCTACGTGATACACAAACTTCGTATCCTTCTCTTTCCGTGGATTCAAAAGCAATGGGGTCGCAAGTCTTTTCGGACCGATGCTGGTAGTACTGAATTCCTTCCGCCGCGCGAGGATGTTAATAGCCCCGATCTCTACATTCCCCGTGCGTCTCCCTTCGCGAGTGTTGCATTCTTGTTGACTCTCTTTCACTTTTAGTGATGGCGCTGGTTACATATATTCTACTATGCGCACTTCATTCAGGGATACAGGATGATTTCCGTCCTCAAGTTCTTGGCGAATCGGCATCACGTGCCATCATGGTGGTCATACTAGACTTCCTCTTTGTTCAATTGGGTTGCTATTTCTTGAATGTTTCGGGACCAAGCCACTCTATCGATATAATCGCGTATGGAGGATATAAGTTCGTCGGGTATGATCAAATCTGCATCCCCGAAACGTCTGGTCTGATATGAGCGCATTATAGTGTGATCCTGATAATTTTGTTTGGGTTTCTGAACCTAGGGCGTACTTTGGGTACTGTGGTTTTCATATATTTCTTCTTCGCGAATGCCTTTTTCCTAGTGCGTGTTTACCAGCCAACGTAAGGGCACACCTCACCGTCTCATAGATGCGTTCCTTGCGCTCGCTAGTCTTGCCCGACGCTGCATCTCGAGCTGCATCTGCTGATCCTTACGCGACGACGCCTTCTGGCTCGCAACGCCGGCGGAGGATCGCTTTTCTTCTGGTGGAAGCAACCTCACAAGTAATTTGGATAGGGGCTCTAGCACGCATATAACCATTCCTACATAGTACATATGTAATGACATGCCTACTGGTTGGATGTGAATCTATCCAATGCCGATGGTTTGCGAGGAACAAACTGTGGATCTTCTATGACCTTCTTTTCTGTGCGTTGTCGGTCCAGCTTTGCTCTGATGGCCACTGCCGTCGGATCGATGACATTTTTGCGTTGTTTACGAAGATATCTGTCCAGCAGCTCATGGCTTTGACAACAAAGCATCCAGGAAAAACTTACCGGCTGAGACTCTTGCCCTTGCCGCGCATTTTTTTGCGTTCCTTCTCTTCTCGCGTGCCCTTGAACTCAAGGTCATCAGGATCCAACGTGTCTGTTTCATCAGCATGACCCGAAGCGCGCAGACGGTCTATGCGAGATAAGCGAGAAAATGGAGTGGGATTCCCCCCAGTCATCGTGGACACTAGTGTGTCCTTCGTTTCTGATGCCAGTGACCCGATGAATTCCGGGTCCAAAGAGATCATGTCCGACGGTAACTGCATCGTCTGATTAACAAGCAGTCATAGGTCGGATTAAGCATTCATACCTTGTCGAGCAGCGCTCTGACTTCCTTCTCTTGACGTCCTTTGCGGTTTTCGAATGGATTTGCTTCGCCCGAATCGAAGTTTGGTTCCCCTACACCAGGAACGATGAGATTAGTCAAACCACTGTTGTGACCAATGGTCAACACGTCCTGGAATGGTGCGAAGCGCACCCCCACCAGCGGTCGTTGGGGAATAAGATGGGTGAGATACAAGGGAGGTTGGACATGCCCTAGGAACGGCTGCTGGATAGTGGGTGCAGTGTAAACCTGTTTTGTGAGGTTACTTCTGATCACCAGTCAGGAAAGAACAGCATACATTGACCGTGCTTCCTGTTGCAACAGCAAGGGCTCCACGTTGGCTGTACTCCAGTTCAGCAGAACCACCCCGAGCTGACCATTCTCGGACCGCGCCTCTCCAGTTCCGACAATCCCAAATTTTGACATTTCCGTCCCGACCAGCTGTCCCCATGTAGCGCCCCCGGAGCTCGGGTCAATCGAAACACTCGCGACAGGGCCCAAGTGCGCAAGGACTTGAACTGCAGGATTCGGCATATTTGGGGTCCAGAGTGTGACCCGGCCGTTCTGATGTCCTAGATGTATCACAGCATTGTGCGCATTTTGAGTCATGACCTGACACGCTCCAAACTTGGTCCGCTGTTCAACGAGCAGTTGACCGGTTGAAGTGTCCTGATACTTTAGATAACCAGCGTTTCCCTTTGAAAAATAGTTAGAGACATCTTCAGTGAAGAGCCATACCGCTCACCACACTAGCAAGAAGCCAATGGAAAGGTAGAAACTCCAGTCGCGTCGGCTCTATGTGCGCTTTTAAACAATGCAGTTCAACTCCATCCCGATCGTATATGAATACGTATTTCTTCTGGGCAACTGCGAAATGAGAATGATCATGCAAAAAACTATGTATAGGTTAGATGAATGCCGGAACAAGCAGCTCAGCGCACGTTATATCCCGACAGGTCTCCTGGAGCTGCAGCTCAGAGTGCATAGTTCCGGTTTGCCAGTCAAAAGTCGACACATGGCCCAAACTTCCAGCAATCGCTAGATGCCTGTAAATTGTCTCAGCAGAGGGAACGAGTCACTACCGCCCGATCGACCTTCCGTTCCGACTATACCGGCAACGGTACGGTCCCCCGTCTAGATACCATTCTTTTCGACCACGGGAAGCCTCAGCACCAGCCTCCGTTTCGATTTCAGCCTGCCCAACCCTCCAAGATCGTTCAAGATCGTTTTCCGCCTGAAGGAGGCCGGCGTCGCCAGCAAGAAGCATCGCCGCATCTTCTACAAGTGTCCTGGCGCGCGCAGCTTGCGTGGCTTGGTGTGTGAGTTCTTTGCGTAGCTTTTTATTGGGAATGTGCCGGTGCCTAGGTACGTCGAGAGGTGCGTCGTCGTTAAGCGACTTGGGTACTCGTGAGTGCTTTTTGATAGAATCTCGTGTCTCGTCGTGAGATGTCTTCCGCTTTTTGTGCCTGGGCTGGCGGACCTCCGCTGCATCTGCCTTCGCAATGAGAGCGTCCATTGACAAGATTTGATGTGGCTGTGTACAATTTTTGAGCAGTCGTGACCCATACCTCTGCCCTACCCCCACCATGGCGGAGTACGATCTCACGAAGAGGGTCATGCCCTTCCTGGACCGCCATCTCTCACTTCCCCTAGTGGTTCATCTTGCCGAAACCAACTTGTTTGCCAGTGCGGACATCCAGATCGCCCAATATGAGCTCGCGAAAGGCACCAATATGGCGGACTACGCAGCTAATCTTTTCTCGCAAATACATCCAGATGAGGAGCCCCCATCGGGTATGAGTGAATCCATGGTCTTCGATCTTTCCTAAAACACTTCACAGAGTTCGAGGAAAAACGACGCAACACTATGTTGACACACGAACGCCTACAAGATGAAGCACAAGCTGTCTTAGATGTTATCGAAAATCCCGAAGTTGTTCAGGCATTGCGTCAGGACAAGGAACAAAATCTGCAATACTTGAAAGACAACTATAACGTATGTGGCTCTCCCCTCGCATCTCGTTCTTAGTCTGATCTTTCTTGTCCAGCTCACCCTCGATCAAATAACGGTTCTGTACCGGTTCGGTCAATTCCAGTACTCATACGGGTTAGTGGGATCTGCGATGAATCATGTTATCTAGGGCTTATGAGCGAAACCCAGAAATTACAGTGGCGCGGCTGATTATTTGTATCACTTCCGGGTCCTGTCCACCGACAACGAGCTCAACACATCTGCTCAGTGGGGGAAACTTGCTTCCGACATTCTTTCGGGAAAGTGGGAGGTTGCTCTGCAGGAGCTCGACACGCTGCGTGAATCCATCGATTCGCGCTCCCTTCCTGGACCTGCTCTCCATCAACTTCACTCTCGGACGTGGCTTGTTCACTGGTCTCTGTTCGTCTATTTCAACCATCCCGCCGGCCGCACTCTTCTTTTGGAGACGTTCCTTTCGCCTGTCTATCTGAATACAATCCAAACCTCTTGCCCTTGGATTCTGAGATATGTCGCTGCGGCGGCGATCATCTCTCGGGCAGCACCAGCTGGTGCGACGCCCCGGGTGCGCAATGCTGTGCGAGAAGTGGTCAAAGTGATACAGATGGAGGAGTACCAGTACCAGGATCCCGTCACAGCGTTCCTCAAAGAGCTATACGTGGAGTTCGACTTCGAGGCGGCTCAGAAGCAGCTGGGTCTGGCTGAGCAGGTGCTCAGTGATGATTTTTTCCTCGAACAGTTTGGTGCTGAGTTTGTCGACAACGCTCGGTACCTCATCAGTGAGGCCTACTGTCGCACTCACCAGAAGGTTGACATCCGGTACGTTAGCACATCCTATATCGCGCCCGATTTCTGACCTGCCGTCGAAACTGTAGGGATCTGTCTGAGCGCCTCAACCTGTCCGCTGATGAGGGCGAGAAGTGGATTGTGAACTTGATTCGCGAGTCGCGCATGAGCGCTGATGCCAAAATCGACCTCGACAAGGTGCGTAATTGAGTATCGTCCTCATTGTGACATTCTAAACGTCTCCTAGAACATCATTGAGATTTTCCGACCAGCTGTGCCTGTATATCAGACGATTATCGACAAGACACGTGGGCTCCATCTGCGCACTTCAGGGCTGGGGACAGCAGTCTCTCGTATAGGAAGTACTGCGATCCCGGAAGTCACTGTCGCTGCTCGCTGATTGTACAGTACTCATATATTAGGCATTTGTACGCTAGTGTTGGTATTATGGTAGCGCAAGAATCTTGGCGGCAGCTTGCTCCGCCGCGGACATGAGTGTGCCGTGGGGATTTCCCAAGGGAAGGGTTGGCATAATCGAGGCGTCGACCACAAACAGGTTGTTCGTTCCAAAGACTTTGGTGTTGACGTCGACAACAGCTTTGCCAGCCACCGTACCCAGCATATTGGACCCCACCCAGTGGTTGGAATTCATGTTAGACAGTCCATAATTCTGGACTGGGGAGGCTTCAGCAACTGCAAGTATCTGGCTGCAAGCGGAACCGACCGTAAGCGCTGATCGTCGTGGTGTTGTCCGGCGTGACCATCTGCATTCCAGGCACTGTGCATCTCCGATTAGCCGGCTAGTCGTCGGAATTTCAGACGACATACCCAGAGCCATGCCGGAAACGATATCATTCAATCCCTGGATGAGGACCGATTTGTCATCGGAATCATTCAACCAAGGATCCACGATCGGCATCGCGTTCAGCGCTGCATTGATTCCGATGCGACCTCGCGACTTGAGTCCGGTCGATAGGTAAGTCGTGATTGTGAACATTTGACTGCCCATTTGTTCAACGGCACCGAAACAGATCTTCGCACTCGCTCGCACCTTTGATTGAACGGATAAGACGTGTTCCAGGATGCAGCACCGGGGCGAGCAGTGCCTGTATCTGTTGGAATCTAAGCATGCGCTTGAAATGGAAGAAAGCTCAAGACTGACCCAACGGGGAATATTGTCTGTAGGCCCCGAGTATGCACGCCAGAAATTGAGCCTGACATGGACTGAGGGCACGCTCAGACAAGACGCGGAATATCTGACCTTGGAGAGGCCTGTGCCATGATACCGGACTGGTTCTTGATGTAAGGTGCGGTGTCCGCAGCAGGTGGATCAGTGAAAACATGGGCCCAGTTACCGTAGGCGTCGCTGAAGCCTGGTCACGAGGTGTTTACGGATGCAGCGAGACTTACACTGATGGATGAGTGAAGACGAGCTAACAATGACTGCAGTCAGCACTGGACCTGAGCCGAAGATATCACATCAGGCCCACGTTGATTGAAGGATTGTCAGAGACGTTATATCCGACGGGGAGATTGATCCACTGCGACTGGGGTGGTAAGTTGGGCCCTGCGGTCGGATGCGCTTTGACGAGGTTGATCATGTCCTATCCGTAAGAAGAGTTGAGCGTTTGCTGTCGAGCGCCCACAGAGAGCATACCGTTGGACCGATTCCACTCTTGAACAAGAGTCGGGCACTACCAAACGTGCCGGCGGATAAGATGACACGTCCGTTGGGATTGAGAGGGTAGATTCCACCAGGAACCGTGGTATCGCTGGTTTTGACACCCGTGATCTGCGATCCATTCCGGATGACATTGAGAACCTCGGTATTCATCATGAGCTTGAAGTTCTTGCGCGCCAGAGCCGTTTGTAGATATGTGGCAACCGGGCCACCTCGCTTGCCGTTGAGGAACTTGGACCGAGATTCAGCGATGTACAGAAAGCAGAACGCTGCATACATCGTAAGCACTGTAGCCTGTGATGTATTTTAGATGAATTACGAGTCACTGTGGTGAACACACACCATATACGTGCTCTCTGTCGTTGGGTGTGTCGTTGATGGTCAGATTCCGATAGCCCTGGAATTTGAGCAGTTGCGAAACGACCGTGTATACTTGCTCGAGGTATCGTTTGCCATCCGTCGAGGGATGGTCTGTCGGAGGAAGCCGAGCCTTGAGTGCAGCGGTGTAGCTCTGATGATTCGTCCACTGTTGAGGCCATCCAGCTGCAGTAGAGAAATCTGGATCCGACGGAAGCCAGTATAATCTGAAAAGGACGTGACAAACCGCGAGACGAGGTGAGCTCAAAGGACGTACGCGCCATTGACCGATGTCCCTCCCCGACGAGACAGCCGGCAAAGACCGTGATATCCTTACACCACCAGAATTCTTTGGGGTCCGTAAACATGCTCTCGAACAAGCCCGGCACGTCAAACTTGGTCAGCTGTACCGGATGTCAGGTCTGATTCGGAAACGATACTCGACAACGATCGACTTGCGTTGGTTCCGGCCGCCCATCTAATGGCCAGTCAGTTGCAGGAGAATTCAAATGACGGATTCACTTGCGCTGGTTGATATGTCCCTCCGGTCTGACCAGTGCTTGGCCCCCCGCGTTCGATTAGCAGGACAGACTTGCCTGCTTGCGATATGCGGTCCGCTGCGATGATACCGCCAGGGCCTGAGCCGACGATGATGTAGTCGTATCTGACAATGTGAGAAGGACGTTGGCATGGTGCGATACAGATCCCTTACGGAGTTGCCTGGGAACTTTCAGACTGCCAGTCATGCACAAATGCGAAGAACACTTACCGTGCCCGTAGGAGCACTGGATGTTGTCACTGTCGTTGCTGTTGTCGTCGACCCACCGCCTCCGCCCGTTCCACCGGCAGCCCAATTATTGTAAGTGGAGGCGCTGACATGAGCCTGAGCCCAGTTCATGAAGTAAAAGCCAACTGGAAGGAACTCCAGTGTCTGATCGCGCAAGGTAAATGGCAGCTCTTACAATCCGTGTGTTGTACCATCGAGGAGCCGGGGTCGGACGGATTGTCGACAGCAATTGTCGAAACACACCTGCAAGAAGCACCTTGAGCAACAAGCCATAGACTGCCGAACATGACTTTACCAAGCAGGCACCGAGCCCGAGGAACTGACATCCAGGCTCCCCCCTTGCCAAGCTGTGACCGGTCAGATTGGACGCCACCGACTCAAAAGCTTGTGTACTGGTGCAGTTCTGGCATCGGAACACCCACTTCCAGTGCGTGGAGTTAACGTGCGAGCTCGGCAGGGTGGTGATGACGGGTCCCGGGTAGACGCTATCCACCGATCAGTCCCCTCATGCCATTGTCTAGTTTTTGAACTGCAGACCTCGGAAGTACATTTGCTCTGGGAGAGACGTTAGAGAGCGATGTTTGGAGGTGGATCGCTCACGTGGCATAGCGAGTAGTAAACACGATGTTCCCATTGTTTGGCCAAGCGGCAACGAGAAGAGAGTCGATCATGGTGCCGGAGAGGGCAAATCCAGCCCATCGATTGGCCACCGGAGCAACAATCGTCCCGATGTACTCGGTGGGATTGGGTCCTGATGTGGCGAGGGGAGGGAAGACATATCCGCTGCAAGCTGTGAGAAGTCACCCTCATTCGGCTCGCTCCCAACCACTCACTAGGTCACTCCGTGGGCAAGATCAGTGATCCCTGAGAAGGAAAGGCTCAGGTTCATCGGATGACAAGGAGAACTCGATGGACGAACCCCAGAATGAGATTCCGCTTTCGGAATCTGTGAATTGAGTAGCAGCCTGAGAGAAAGCTGCAGACGTAAGCAGAGTCTCTTTGTGCGTAAAACAATCTAGCAGCACCTCGACCGAGCGAAGCCAGCAAGACGGCGCAAAGAGTCCACCGCATGTTTGAGGGCGGATGTTCTCAACTGCCTGCATCTTAGGCTTCAGGTTATAAACCGTGAGCGGAGCGCGAGGAACTTCCGGCAGGGTCGTCTCGAGGGCACGGGTAAGATTTTAGACCCAAGGATCGGGCATGTGGCCACGGAGAAATGAGACCAGGAGATTCAATACAGACAGGCGGTGTGTGGCATCCAAGAACATAGCGGGCATGAACCTGGGCGAGGAAGCACCGATCTATATCCGCCCCGGAGTAAATGCACCACGAAGGTTGCCGGACCCAGTAGATGCTAGATACAGCCAGCACGATCGAAGATGCCGCACCGAGAATGAAAGATCTGGAGCCGCAATGGTGACAATCAGAAACCTTGGCCGAGATATGAAGGAGAGTAGTCCGGAACTGCAGGTTGAACGAATCGTTGCCTATTGTAACGCGTTGCTAAGGAAATTCGCTGCAAGCGGGACGTAATCAGAGGCAAATCATTGGATTGAACACGAGTTGAGCAGCTGAGCATAGCTGCTGCCAGCTGCACGAAGTAATTAACCGCCGAATCTTTTCGCTAGAAACATTCAGATACTATCATATTCTCATCCGGACTCTGCCCGTGCTTTTTGCACTGCAAACCCTCGCCAAGGTTGCTTGTTTCCTCCCAGAACTTGCACCATGAAACACGAATTGGAGGCGGAGGATGATGCAGCATGTTTGTCGTTGTCTTGCTCGGCTATTGTTACGGAATTGTTGCCTTTGAACACGGACAACGGCGACGGTGAACCTTTCGCGAGCGTCAGTCGTGGACCAGGTCATCGTCCTCGCGCTCTTGTGATCATCCCAGCCCATCTCGGCGCGCTCCTCTCTTTTAATCTTTCTTCTCTTCTCCTTATCCCCTTATTCCATCTCTCTGCGCGTGATTTCTCTCCACGGTTCCTCACGCGCAAAGTCTGCGATATAGTTCACCTACCCCAACCACCACCCATCTCGCGAACGTCATGGCTTCCTCCTCGTCATCCGCCAACGCATCAACATCCCTCAGCCCAACAGCAAGCCTGAAAGCTCAACTCGAGAGCAACGATGAGAAGAACAGGTCTGTCGATCTCGTCCGTGCTGTAATATGTCATTTTTTCTCATGCTTTTTCCTTCGCCAGCGTTGTTATCAAGGTTGGCATGGTAGGGGATTCGCAGATTGGCAAGACAAGCTTGATGGTCAAGTATGTCGAGGGCAGTTTTGACGAGGACTATATCCAGACGCTGGGTACGCCGTTCAAACTCAAATCGATCTTTTCTTGACATCATTCAGGCGTCAACTTCATGGAGAAGACTATCTCCGTCCGTCGAACCACTATCACGTTCTCCATCTGGGATCTAGGGGGTCAACGCGAGTTTGTCAACATGCTCCCACTTGTGTGCAATGATGCCGTTGCGATACTATTCATGTTCGATTTGTCACGAAAGTCGACACTCAATTCGGTGAAAGAATGGTACAGGCAGGCGCGAGGTTTCAATAAGGTGCACCCATTCAGTACACTGGTACCTTTCCTGTCACTAAATCAATATTCCCTCAGACTGCTATCCCATTCTTGATTGGAACCAAGTTCGACCAGTTCGCCACATTTCCACGAGATGAGCAGGAGGAGATCACGAAACAGGTGCGCAAGTGCGGTGCGACGCTTGTTCTCTGATTCACATCAGCTCAGGCAAAACGATTCGCACGGGCAATGCATGCTTCGCTAATATTCTGCTCAACATCGGCGTCAATCAATGTGCAAAAGATCTTCAAGATCGTCCTTGCGAAAGCCTTCGATCTCAAATGTGTCATTCCCGAAATCGAGGGTGTTGGAGAACCTATTCTGATTTACGTCGACGTATAGTGACGAGTTCAGTCGCTGGATGGACGTCAGGTTTTTTCCAGAGAATGCTTAGATGAATGTGAAGGCGGAAGGAGGAACAGATCTAGTTGTGCGTGCCCTGGTTCCTGTCCGTGGTCAAGTCAATGTCTAAACGGTCCAGGCAGACTGGCAGTCTGATTTGTGGTCTCGTCGTGGAGCAATCTGTAACACTTCTTGCCATAAGACAACGGCTACACTGGAATCTGCTCGTAAAACAAGATAGATCCCGGTCACAAGGGAGTTGCTCTTGCGGAGTGACAAGACTGGACGCAAATAAAACTTCGCCTGCTATCATTCATTATGATTCATTATATCGCTCCCACGCATCGCTCCTTAATTGGCATATTCCAGTCTGCATTATCCCCATGTTGTCGCTTTCCTTGCTGCATTCCCCTTTACCAACACCGTCTATATACTCACTTCGCCTGTACTTTACCGTCGTATCTAAAACTTATCAATCACTTCTGGATGCGTATATACTTATATGATCGTATGCGTATTACGTCAGCGCGACCTCACTCTCTCAACCCACGCCGAAACAATGCAAGCGCCGAAGCCCACTCTACCTACTTCTACATACGATAACATGCTGGAGCGACTGTCGAAAGAGTCTGCGTGGTCCGGCGAAGATGAATCGGTACCTTCACAGCTGGGCAAGCGATCTCCGTTATCCAGCAGACTTGCAGGCTGTATTGGAACCCTACACTTATATAACCTCGAATCCTGGCAAGGACATCAGAACGCGCCTCCTGACAGCATTCAACGCCTGGATCAATGTCCCTGAAAGCCAGTTGGATCAGATCTCCAAGGTCATAAGTATGCTGCACAATGCAAGCTTGATGTTCGTTCTGCGTATTCCAATCAGAGGCCCAGGAGGTTCGTTAAATGCAGTACAGGGTTGACGATATTGAAGATGACTCACAACTACGGCGTGGAATACCTGGTATACGTCCCCCGTTCCTCAAGCCTTCGTCCATGCAGTGAACGGCGATCCTAGTGACACACAAGATCTATGGCGTTCCACAAACTATCAACACCGCAAACTACGTGTACTTCTTGGCTTACCAGAATATGTTTGATCTCGCGGAGCCAGGAGACCTGAAGCCCTCTCAAACAGAGCTCATATCCATCATTACTTGTGCGTCGATTGACTGCACAATCCTCATCGCCAACTAGTACACTAGCGGAGTTGATCTCGCTTCATCGTGGACAAGGTCTAGAGCTCCTTTGGAGAGATTCGCTGACGTGCCCCACGGAAGATCAGTACATTAGCATGGTGAACGACAGTGAGCAGTTGCTTTCCCTATATATGTCTGCCATCTGACGTCCGGCGCTGCGTTCAGAAACCGGTGGGCTGCTTCGCATCGGCATCAAACTCCTGATGGCCTGCGGAACGACCAATCTTGAGACGCAAGCTAGTCTTGTTGACGTTCACGAGTAGGAACTGAGCACTCTCACAGTGACTATGTCCCACTGGTCAACCTCATCGGTGTCTGGTTCCAAATCAGAGATGATTACATGAATCTGCGAAGTGGAGAAGTGAGCATCCATGCAAGAATCTTCTTGCCGGTTGACTTTTCTTCAGTATATATCCAATAAAGGCTTCGCAGAGGATCTGACCGAGGGAAAGTTTTCATTCCCGATTGTTCACGGCATCCACGCCGACAAATCTAATCGGCAGATACTGAGTAAGTTGTGGACACGTGTAGAACGATGTGGACGATGACATTCTTCAGATACTCTCCAGAAACGACCCAGAACGCCTACTCTCAAGATTCATACAATTTCGTATCTGGACCAACGCACCCGTTCGTTTGAGTATACTCGTGGTGTTCTCGCCACTTTGGAGGGACAAATGCGGGCTGAAATCGCGCGACTCGGAGGTAATGGACGTCTGGAAGCAATTGTGAATGCGTTGTCCTTGCCTGAGGAGTAGCTGTTTGTTGTGCATCAAATTGTGTCGGATTCTGACTTTTAGAATTTTAAGTTGTTGACCCACTCGGCCGTATGATAGCCGCCACGCGAGACTCGTGATTTGCAAGTATGAATTGAGCGTTGGTAAACATGCATTGGGAACATATTCTAACCACTACTTGAGCTTCTTTTTACTGTCCAGAAACTTGAGTTTGACCCATGGATCAAGTAATGAGGATTCACTCACGGACGGAGCTGGCTGCTGTGGCCGCATCCGCGTTTCCTGCAATTGGTTGCACGCGGAGGGAGCCGAGCGTAACACTTGCGGCAAATTTGCTTGTCACAATTGTATTTTCCGGCCAACACTTTCAGGGAGGGTTCGATTATACCGCCACGCAGGCGGAGGACGAGGTGGAGCGTGCTCTCTTTTTGGATGTTGTAATCACTCAAGGTGCGACCGTCTTCGAGCTGCTTGCCAGCGAAAATGAGGCGTTGCTGGTCGGGCGGAATACTGGAAGATGATAGTTGGGAGTTAGGTTAGGGGCGTCTCGAAGAAAGACAGAAACAGCCCACCCTTCCTTGTCCTGGATCTTCGCCTTGACATTGTCGATGGTGTCTGACGACTCGACCTCGAGAGTGATCGTCTTGCCAGTGAGGGTCTTCACAAAGATCTGCATCGCGACCTGGGGTATTTTCCAGAAATTACAGAGATCGAAATTTCAGTGCGTACCGTTACAACACCACGGAGGTTGGCTGCAGGGTTGGAGACGATGGCTCGATGTCAGCTGACGTCAGCTGGTGCGCATTGCCACATGAGTAGACCTCGGCAAGTAGCATGGGGAATATAATGATTATCGGGTCGGCCCTGGCTGATACCGCTTCTATATGCGCCAAAATTCATTGCGCTTTATTCTTATGTGTCAAATCTATTCAAGTTCTCAGATTTCAAATTGAATCGAATGTGATCTACATGTATTATCGATGCTATCTGATAAGATCTTGCGACTGGTTTTTGCTGAGCAATCAAGCATTGCAGATCAAGGGATCCTCAGTGCTGAGAGCACACGATGAATACCTTGGAAGAGTTTCGGCGATTCTGCGCCAACGAACCTCTTCAAATGCGTATATATCCCGACGAATATGTGCAATGAGAGCATGGACGAGACGCTGGAGCTGAGGTTTAGGGTTAGGAGTCAGGCCGTCTATATTATCGACGGAGGTCGCTCTTCTGTGTGGTGGAGATACGAGATTGGTTCGTAAACATTGCTGGCCCGGGAGATGGATTTGCAACACACCTGAACGCGATCAGCATGAGCGAAACAAGCCACGACACGATACAACGGTCACGCAATCAGTTCTTGTTCTTGACCGTACACTTTCGTTTGCAACAGCATGGTATGTCAACACTGTCATGTTTTCAACGACGAGGCTCATGTGTGAGTCGTAGAGTGACAATTCAGGTATTTACGAATCCCGATGCGCTCGCTGCAACCGACTTACTTGACACCTTCCACCTTTCTCCCTACGCAAACCCCGTCGATCTTTCTGGATTCCAACGATAACAACAGAATACAAAGAAGCATTTGCGCTATTTGACAAGCGGGGAACCGGTGCCGTCCCGCGCGAAACTCTGGGAGATCTCCTTCGTGCTCTCGGTCAAAACCCCACACAAGCAGAAGTGGCGGAGATTGTCGCTTCCGCCCCGCGTGATGTTGACTACAAAACATTCCTGGCGATTTTGAATCGGCCTGATGGATTCAAGCCCGCTGGGACTCCTGGTGCGTATATCTTTGCTTGACTAAATACTGCGGCTCATGCACAGCAGAGGAGTTCATCCGTGGATTCCAAGTCTTCGATAAGGAGGGGAACGGGTTTATCGGTGCAGGAGAGCTCCGATATGTCCTCACACAGCTTGGAGAGAAGATGACAGACGCAGAGGTCGACGAGTTGCTCAAAGGAGTACAGATTGGAGCGTGCGTTTCGAGCAACGTCTTCCTCAGATAATTCAGCATAATTTTTCCAGGGATGGAAACGTGAACTACGAGTCCTTTGTCCGGACGATTCTGAGCCAATGATTGCGTGTTTCGTACCGAGTGCCACCTTCCCCTGTATCACACACTGCATACGATTTCCAGAGATGAATGTATTCCCTAATGCCTGCCGCTACTCTTCAGATTCGTAACCGTCATCATCAGCGGCTTGACTTGCATAGGACACATTGTCATCAAGGAAGCGCACTACAACCTGACCACCACTTCGAAGACAATCTACGTCGTGGATCGTCTGCTGTTTGCTCCAAGGAATATCGATCCGAGGGTATGCCAAGGTCAGAATGAATGGAAAGTATGAGCCTGCCAACTCGATTTGACTTTCGACCGCACGCTCGAGCTCGCTCCATTCATGACCTTGCGGGGACTTTGAAGAAACGCAGGCAACATCCGTCCCAAGCTTGCTGTCAATGAAGGCATAGAGATATGTCAGAGAACGTTGATGGTCAAAACTGCGCACGACGCGTGACCCGTCAGGGAGTCGGATAGCGAGCCGTATCGTGGATTGCCCGCGATCTCCATGCACGTCTGCATTGTTCTGCCGGTCCGACTCTTCGAGCGCATAGCGAGTCCATGCTCGCCACATATCTCTGGCCTGTTTCTTCTGTTCTCGTTTCTCCAGGTCCATTGCCTCTTTGATAGCACGCTCCTCCGCCTCTACTTCCTCCCGCCGTTTTCTTTCTTTTTCTTCCTGCTCCGCCTTCATCAGTGCCTCGATCCGGGCAACATCTTTGGCAGCCGTGGCAGCAAATGCACGATCTTGCTCGTCGCGCAGACGCCTGTTCCTCGCGGCTTCGTCTTCCTTTCTAAATGCCTCTAAAGCTTCATCGTCCCGTTGAGTTCGAACACGTGCTAGGAATGGTTCGACCCGAGGTAAAAGCGTGTGGTTGAGATAGTCGATAAGCGTTTGAGCAGCTGTCGGACCTGATGCTGCAGGAACTGAGGGGCCTTGATGCCGAGACAGGACCGTCAGTGACTCGGAGGCAGACGACGAACTGGATGGTCGGACGCCCCGCCGAGGCTGCAAGGCTACGAAGGCTACAAAAGGATATGTCGTCGCATGCAGTCGCAACGAGGCAGCGTATGGATCAGTATCCCTGACATCCCCACCCCAGACCAGTAGATTATGCTCATGCATCAGCTGAACCAGGGCGGGGTCGGTCAGTGTAGAACTGAACGACGCGTCAGAAAAAGTCAGGACTGATACTTGAACACTTGCCGTTTGAATTCCGGAACGTCATCGTGCTCCTCGCTGACAAGAACAATGCACCCGATCCGTAGGTCTCGTTTGCAACTTTCCAGAGCTTCCTCATATGTACACAATGCGAAGTCGGGAAGAACCCGCCGCCCTTCAACTCCAGAAGTCCGATTGTGCAGAGTTCCCGTTGAAGAGGAAGGGCCAGCCTCTACACCCGATACAGCTGTCGCTGTGCTGTAGGAAACTGCACCGGTCTCCTCCTCGAGTCCTCGGATCCATCGCTCAGATGCCCCTTCTCGTTGCGTATGCCGGTTGGCACGAGGCCGGAAAAGTGCAAGATTGAATGAAAACGGGCGAGGTAACGGTATACGTAGAGCACCGAAAAGGAATCGGAGAATGGAAGTCAGGAAATGCAGCGGCAGCGTCAGGAATGACCACACGGTCGACGGTCCCCCTCGTGCAAGAGCACGTGGGGGATCCGGTCGGAATTCTTCTGAGTCGTCGAATTCAAAGACCTCCATTTTTTGGCGCGGGGCAGGTCGATGCGACGTGTCCGAGGTGGTACCGAATATAAGTTCGGTGGCCCGCTGAACATCCCAGTCAACAGTTTGCAGGACGCTGATAGCTATTTCATCGTCCGATGCGTTCGTTAACTCGCGCAACTGCTCAACAGCGGAGACTTGGTCTGTCGTAAGCGCCATGGACGTGGTGAGGTGGATGAGTCTAATAATGTGGCAGTGTACTACGTAATCCGCATCATCTCACTTGTTCGCAGCAGTTGTTACAACTTGCTGCGGGACATCTCCTTCTTCCTCTCCCTCTCTGACATTGGTCCTATCGCCCTTACCTGCCATGCCATCTCAATCTACTCTTACGACAGATGAGAAGAATAAAGTGAAAGCTGCTATCCCGGCCTCTTCTAACAAGATCTTATTTGCCACTCTCGCCCGTATCTATTACGCATATCCGGACCCACAGAAATGGGCCTATGCCGGCTTACAAGGCGCATTGGCCTGTGCACAGGATAATGCAACCAAGACTCACTCCTTCCGGCTTGTGGACCTGACAGGAACTCGCGGAGTGCTATGGGAGCACGAGATGTACGACGGATTGGAATTCAACGCGGATCGGTCATGGTTTCACTCCTTCGAGGGCGACAAGTGCATGATAGGATTCGTTTATGCGGACGAGAAGGAAGCGAAATCGTTCTGGAAGAAAGTGAAAGGACGAAAGGATGGCAAAGGTTCGAGACGCCGCACTCCTGTGTCGTCATTCTGAGCTTCCCAGCCAAGGGCACCTCTGTTGAGAAGAAGAAGAAAACTTCTGCTTCCAAGGGAGGCAAGATTACCAAGGGCATGATCTCGGCGCCGAGCGCAGGGTCTTTTGTGCATGTTGCACACATGGGTTACGACGACAACTCAGGCTTTGTGGCGACGGGAGTGGATCCATCGTGGACCGCTCTGCTCGGCCAGCTCGAAAACTCGGGCATTGACCGCAGCATCATCGACAAAGAGATGGAGTACATCAAGACCTTCGTACGGGATCATCAGACAGTCAAAAAAGAGAAGAAGCCTAAGCCTCCGCCTCCCCCTTCTCGCTCCCGGGTCCCACCGGCACCAGCGCCAGCATTGGCACCAGCACCGGCAGCAGCATCAGCGCCGCCGCCGCCACCGCCACCTCGGAGTCGTACGTCTGTGGCGCCGCAACCGCCGCAACCACCGTCTCGACCATCGACGAGTACTCCTGCACCACCACCTCCCCCAGCGCGGCCGGTATCCAGAGCCCCCACAGCGCCTCCGCCGCCAGCCCGACCCAGCACTGCAGCACCAGTTGCACCACCGCCTCCGGCACGGCCCGCTGCGGCATCGGCAGGACCTGCCGCTCCTCCTCCACCGCCTCCGCCACCCCCGCCGCCGATGGGTGCAGCCGGGGCACCGCCACCTCCGCCACCTCCCCCTCCACCGCCAGCTCCAGGACCGGGATCGGGACCGGGTCCTGCTCAACCGGGCCGGGCTGCACTCCTGGAGTCGATTCAAGGCAAAGGTGTGCATTCGCTGAAGAAAGTGGACCCGGATGCGCAGCCCAGAGCAGCTCCTCGGGTAGAAGACGAGCCCAGCACACCGAGCGGAGGCGCAGATCTTACCGCAACGCTCGTGGAAGCGCTCATACTCCGCAACAAGAAGCTCGGAGAAGACAGCGACGACGAGGACGAGGACGAGGAAGAATGGGACTGATTATCTATTACATGCAATAATTACACTGTTGTAAACAGATGCAGGAGTTGTACAATGCAAGTGTTAGTAAGAAAACAAGAACAACAAAACGTTCACCAGCGTTTGCCGCTAGTCTGGAGCTGAGCCGCTAGCTCCTCAATCCGACTTTCTCTCCGCGCAGCAGGGCGAGTCGACGTGGTGGGCTTGTTCTCCAACTCGGCTATGCGCGCATTCAGCTGTTTCGACTGGAGCTCCAGATTGGCCTGCAGGCCGTCAGCGGTATCCATCAACATCATCCAAACTCAAAACACGTACATTCAACCGGTCAAGCTCAGACTTTTCAACCTGAACCTTGCCCAGTTCAATCTCGCACTCGCTGGCGAACTTCTCGGCTTTGCGCATCCGATCAAGGCACGTGGTCGCGCGATACTCTTGCTCCTCCAAAGCTCGTTCGAGGTCCAGTTGTTTCAGTTGTAGGCGATGGAACTCCCGGTCATTCGGAATCAGACCCGGACTGGCATCAACATGTTCGTGCTTGATGGTCTCTAGTTCAGCCTGCAGAGCCCGGCGCGCTTTCTGTAGAAGCATGCGGTCGGCCTCGGCATCGTCCAGCACACCACGCAGCTCCCGAACTTGTGAATGCAGTGTCTGAATCTGTGACCGCTGCTCTGTTTGTGCAGCTTTGGATGCCTCGAAGGCCCGCGTCACGTCCTCCAGCTTGGCCTGCATCTGATCCTTCTGCTTCCGCCAATCCTGCATCCCTTCCGGGTCGAACCGCGGGCCAACCTTGCTCACACCAGCGTTCACGATCTGCCCTTCGAGTTGGGCGACGCGACGGGCCATAGAGATCTGGGGCCCGCCTGATCCGTCGATCAATTGGTCGAGATCTGAATCCAACTTGCTCCGCGACTGTCGGTGCTCGTTCAACTGGGTCGTGAGGTCGTCTATCTGTCGCTGCATGCTTTGGAGATCAATTTGGAGCCGGCGGGCTTGCAGTTCGGCCGCATCCTTGTCTTTGCGATCGCGATCAGCATTGGCGAGGGCCTTGCTCATCTTCTCCTCCTGAGCTCGGACAGTACGCTCCTTCGTCTGCAGCTCGATCCGTTCCCGCTCTGTCTCTCGTATCAGATCCTCCGTCTCGCCAGTCAGGCGTTGTTTGGCTTTCTCGAGTGATTTGATATATGCCTTGTTTCGCTCGACTTCCGCTTTCGCGTCGGCCAGCTCCCGATCCGTCACGCGCTTGGCTTCCTCGAGAACATGCACGTGCTCCACGATCGTCGTATGGTGCTTGCTCTCGAACTGCTTGGCCTCTGTCTCGAGCGCTTTGACATGATTGAGCGCCTTGCCCAATTCCCCATCAAGTTGTCCGTTTTTCTCTTTGAGCTGGGTAACCTCCTGATGATGACTCGCGGCAGCTTTCTCCAGCTTGGCACGCTTGGCCGATTCTGCCTCGAGCTGCTTGCGCAGAGACTCCAGTTGTCGGTCAGTCGCACCTTTGTCACGCTCCATTTGGAGCATGACATCTTCGATCTCATGATATTTGCTCTGGGCCACGGTCAATTGGCGCTCCGCTCGCTGAGGCTCAAGTGAGATCATTTTGTCATTAATTCAGAGAGGCACTGACCTCCCGACCCTCGCGTTCTTGGGTAGCCTTCCCTTCCGCTTCGCTGTGGCGCGTGACAGCTGACACCAAGTCCGACTCCAGAGCCCGCTTGGCCTTGTCCAGCTCGGACAGTTGAGCTTGAGTCTTAGCCAGCTGAGACTGTGAGTCACGCGCCTCTCTCTCGACAGACTTGTGCGTTTCTTGCAAGATGGAATGCTCGCGCAGCGTTTGGTCTAGTTCTGTCTTGATTTGTTTCTGGGTCACCAGCAGCTCTTCAAGTTTCAGTCGCGTCGCCGTCTCGTTCTCCCGATCGCCCTTTTCCGCTTCAAGCTGAGTTTCTAGAGTATCGATATCGTTCTGTAAAGCGAGTATTTCTGAGAGCGCTTCGCTGTGCAACTTGTTCATGGACTCGATATCTTTGGCCAGCTTCTGCAGTTGGACTTCCTTCTCCCTGATCGCTGCCGACTGGTCAGAGACTGTCCTGGTCATCTCTGCGATTTGCTGCTCAGCAGCTCTGTGGCTCTCATCCAGCTGCTCAGCCTTGCGGCGGATGGTTTCCCTGTACAGGACGTGAGCGTGATTATACAGTTGGTTTAGACCCCTTACGCGTCATTGGATTGTGCAACCAGTTTAGCATCCAATTCTTTCACAGCCGTATCTGCTCGTTCTTTGGCACGGGTCAAATCCTCCTCTCGCTGAAGAACCAGATTCTTGAGCTCTTCTCCGATCTTGTGCAGTTCGTCGATGTTGCCACGCAAGGTTTCCGCTTCCTGCTGAGAATCAAGTAGCTGTCCATTCAAGTCGGCTTCCAATGCAGTTGACTCCTTCTGCTCAGCCTCCAATCGGACGAGATGTTCTGCAGCTTTGTCAAAGCTGATCCGCAACTGCTCGTGCTTGTCGTCTGTCTCTTTTTGTAAAGCCATCGCACGATCTAGCTGAGATTCGACCTGCTCAAGGTCCGCTTGAAGAGTCACGACTTCTTGCTCGAGGTCGCTTTCGCGTTTCTTGCTGCGGTCCAGTAGAGCGTCCTTGTCGATTGCAAGACCCCGTTCAGCCTCCAGTTCTTCTTCGACCTTCCGCTTCTCAGCTTCAAGAGAAGCTTTGAGAGTCTCTAGAACCTCTCGCTCTTGCTTTTCACGTTCGGCGCGTTCAGCAAGAGCCATAAGTTCAGCATCTTTCTTACGAATCTCCTCGTCGTTCCTCGTCGCAGCCAAAAGCGGTCGAACCTTGGTGTACAGTTGCCACCATGGCCATTCTCTGAGCTCACCGTAGACACGAGCATTGCGCTGGATCGCTCGGATCGCTCCAGCACGGTTCAGGATCTTCCTCATCTGTCTTCGAGCTGTCCACATCCTGGCAGCAGACTGCAAGCGTGAGAAGATCTCGAATAACAACGCGTCTCTACGCTCCTCCAGTTCAGCCAAGACACCCGCCTTGAAGAAGATTTTCGACGTGCCGATCTTGAAGATGGCCTCGTCTAGCTCCAGGGATTTGACCATTCTGCGGCAAGCTTCGCGGCCATCCATGTAGCCTCGAGGAATGATTCCTGGCGTGAGTACTTCGTAGCGCTGACGGAACTCGACAAATGGTAGTCGATTCGGATATCCTCGTCGAGCTATCCGGATTCCCTCCAGCACACCATTGCATCGAAGTTGATCCAAAACTAGAGGGACATCGAGACGCCCAGGCTTCTTGTTGCTGTTGGGAACAATGCACCGCACGAAATGGGGTTGTGTAGCTTGCAACTGGCCCATCAGGCCCGACAATTGCTCCTTGTGGCGCTGAGCAACAGTTCGGAACGCGCCTTTCTTGACACGCTTTTTGGGGGCAATGAAGCCACTACCAGAGCTCTGGTTTTCGGCATACTCCGCAAAAAGGGAGGCCACATATCGGTCCGAGGAGCCAGCGAGCACTCGCGTTAGATTGTCGTTGAGAGGGTCCTTATTTTTCTCCAGCCAGCCTTCCGTCCGATACTCCACTTTGGCAGCGTAATGGTGCACGATAAAACCTTGGTCGAATCGAGTCGGTTCGTATTTATCTTTGCCCGGATGTTGCTTCGGATCAGTCTTGCCACCAGCCCACATGCCATGCAGCTTGTTGGTGAACGTCAAGTCAGTAGCTCGAGGCATGATGCACTCCTCGTCCAAGCAGCTGAGAATTCCAATAGTGCTGCCACTGGCCTCGATCAGATCGATCGTGGCTTGCAGATCGAGCCCAAAGTTCTCGTAATCCCATTTGATGCCCTCGCGTTTGTACTCTTCCTGCTCGAGCACGAACATGTGGTGGTTGAAAAATTGCTGCAGCTTCTCGTTCGTGTAGTTTATCAGCAGCTGCTCGTACGAGTTGATCTCGAAGATCTCGAATCCAGCGATGTCCAGAACACCGATGAAGTTCGACTTGGAGAGCGGACGATCAAGAGCAATGTTGATCCGATCAACCAGTGCCCCGAACGATTTCTCGTAGAGCGTCTTGCAAAGAGATCCCAGTTCGTCCAGAGCCTGTTGTCTAGTGCGAGCCTGGGACACCCATTCCCGGCCGGCAAGCGTTCTAGGTTGGAGGACAGCCCGTGTGAACTCCGCTACAGGCAGACCTAAGAGGTGGCATACCCTCTCGACTTGCGAAGGATCGGGCATGTTCGCGTCATCGCCACGGGACGAGGTAATCACGATATTCCCAATGTGTAGGATAGCAGCGATGATTCTGAAGAGATCCAGTTGTTCCCCTGCCGTGAACCCCACAGTGTCGAGAGCGTTCTGTGATATAGTTCAGATATGCATGTCACTAGTGATGACACAGAACAGGCCTTGAGGGTATTCCATTCCTCTCTATCATCAACACCATCAACCTCCCGTCGACTCTTATTGAGATATTCGTAGTCTTCGAGCCCGCCGGAAAGTAACAGACTCTCTGTAGTTTCCTCAGAATGACCGGTCAGATTTACAGATATGCGCGACCCACCTTTCAATGTCCCGCCACCGACCATAAGTTGGTAGAAAACGTGAAAACTTCTCTCTGCTTCACTCCTGTGTACCACACGGCTCTTCTCCAGAAGATACCAGTCAATGTTGGCGCCAGCGATGCTTCCATCGGGAGCGAAAGTGATTCGGACGAATTTCCCGAACCGACTGGAGTTGTTGTTGCGCTGGGTTTGCGCATTGCCGAAGGCTTCGAGAATGGGATTGGCTTGAAGTATCTGGCGCTCGAGGTGGCCAAGGCGCCCACGGGCAGTATGAAAGCCACTTCCGGTCGAAGAGGACGGAGACAACACGTGTCCACGCCTGAAAGACTCGCTGCGAGACAATGTGCCATCCGATGTAGGGACCCGCGAGTGAGACGCGTATACATCAGTAGCGATAGCGGCCAGATACTGGATCACTTTTTTCGTGCTTTCAGTCTTGCCTGCCCCGGATTCACCTCTATCGCATAATCAGCAACACCAATGTTCAGGTCAGGAATAGGTCGTACGTGATCAGGATGCTTTGGTTCTCCCTTTCATCGCCCATATTAACCCATGCCCGTTCGGCCACAGCGAAGATATGAGGAGGATTCTCGTCTCTTCGTTTATTCCGATATTGTTGAACGATGGCATCAGAATAGAGAGGGAGGGATTGGTATGGGTTAATGGCAACCAGGAAGAGTCCGGAATACGTCTGTTTTCAAACCATGAATACGCGTCGGAGGCACGACAAGAGAACTGACATAGATAGCACCAGATCCGAATCTGAGACGCAGGTTGTGAACGACACTAGGTTCATTCAAGAAAGTAAGATCTGCAATATCCTCTACGCGGTCGAACTTTGGAGGATTCATCTTGGACAAAGCATACAAGGGCACCACCCTTATCTTGGCAGTATTTCAGCTTCGTGAAACAAATCCTGAGGCAAAGAATGCGTACCTCGCCGTCGTCAGCCATGACTATTTCACCCAAGTCGCCATCCTCCTTGCTGACCCAACCAGCCAGATACCCGTCCGCGTCATCGGGAACCCAGACCCACTTCTTCTCGTTGAACTCTGCCTGTGCAGCCGCGGCACGAGCAGTCTCTGCGCTTTCTGAAGGACGGGGAGCGGGCATATTGCACCAACAACCCTATTTAGGGTGTAACAACGCGAACGAGAGAGCGCGATGGAGAGATCGAGTAAGCGCGACGATCGACCTTGAAGTAGACTCTAGCGGAAACAGGTGGACGGGACGAGCCGAACTTTGAGTAGTGAGTCGAAGACCAAGCAACGAGACTCAAGGAGTTGAATCGAGGTGAACGCGTCACAGCCACTCGACCTCGTTTATCAAACCATGACGTTGATCGCAGTCACTCCTGCACCTGGAACACATAGTTGAGAGCTTGGGATGTTGAATGAAACACGGACGCGTTTTACTTGTGCTCTTTTCTTGCCTGATCGATCTTTCCGAGTTCCTCAAGTGGCCGCCTTCGCTTAAGCAGCCATTTACGAACAAATCAGCCGCCGTTGGGTACTTCTCTGGCTGTTATCCTTCTACTATCAGCGATCGCACTGGGTCATCTCACTCAGAGAGACGCCCACATCTTGATGAAGCAGAAGGCATCATCCTTATCAGCTTCTGCGGTATGTTTTCTGTGTGCGGCGATACCAAATTTAATCATATGTGCTCCTTCGCACTTCCTTCTAGACTGTCCTCGGGACTTGATTCAACAGTATCTCCTTGTCTGACTGTCCCGTGAACTTGGCTACACATGATAGAAGACTGTGTCTGATCCGGTGCAAGAACTTCAAAAGCGCTACGCAGGCTGATTCTACGATGGTGTTGCGATGACTGTTTCCCTCGCGCGATTGCTTGCTATCACAACGCTGCTCCCTCTTTTCAATGTCGTCTCCTCAACATGGATCATGCACAGGCCGGGGAATGTTTCTGTTCAGATTCCGGAGAGCCAACGGCAACCTGTCCTGGACCCCATTGTGCACCATGTTCATAAGCGTGCTGGGGAAAAGGTCAGCATAGGTGAGGCTCGAGGTTCATCATAGGTTATCCTGCGCTGAATCAAGCCTGAGGCTACTTCACAAATTGGGGGATCTATGGAGCCAACTTCCGTATGTATCCGCCTGAGACAACGAGGCTCGCTATCTGAATCATCCCAACTTCGAAGAGCCGACGGACATCGTGGCTGACACACTTACCCGTGAGTTTGCACGAATGGCGTGAAGATGAATAGATGATCATGGCCGTTTCAAGACATACTATACTCTTTCGCCGATGTCGATCCTTCGTCAGGAACGATCGCGTTGACCGACCTTTATGCAGACACTCAGGTAGGATGGACTTTCTGTGGCACATTTAAGATGCTAAGATTCGGCAGAAACATTTTCCTGGCGACTCCTGGAGCGAGCCCGGCAACAACCTATACGGTTGTCTGAAGCAAATCTACCTCTTGAAGCTGGCGAACCGAAATCTCAAGGTTTTGTTGTCCGTTGGTGGATGGACCTACTCTCAAAGCGGTACGTCCCATCTTGTATTTCTTGTTCTACTTAAAAAGCGCAAGGCCACTTTGAGTTTGTCACCAACCCTGCAAGTCGGGCCAACTTTGTCACCAACGCTGTGAATATGATCGAGAATTACGGATTCGACGGGATGTAAGCGCGAGGGTCTCTCTTTCTCTGGCCATCAACCTCACTGTTTCCCCCAGCGACATGGACTTTGAATACCCTTCATCGGCAGCGGAAGGCCAAAATTTCGCTGATCTATACACCGAGCTGCGAACGGCATTCGACGCCTTGGCCACGAGAAAAGGAGATAAGACTCCTTATGAATTGACGGCAGCCGTTTCCGCTGGTTATGCACATTACGAATATCTTGCCATTCCTCAGATGGATGCAGGTGATGTCGTCGAGTTCACGTACCCAAGCTGTTGGCCTGATGCACAGCTCAGCCCTCTCCTACTGGAACCTCATGGTCAGATGGTCCATGTCACTGTTGTCTCTTTGATGGATGACTTGCTAGGCGTATGACTACTCCGGATCGTGGCTCACGTTCGCGGACAATCAGGCTAATGTCTACGGAGGTGCTCGCACGAATACGAGCACTGATTCTGCAATCAAGTACTTTGTTGCTTCCGGAGCAACTCCGTCAAAGATCAGCATGGGGATCCCTCTTTACGGCCACGCTTTTGAGAACACTCTAGGACTTGGGCAACCCTACAATGGGGTCAGTACAAACCACAGAAGTATCCAGATCTATTTCAAACAGCCATGCAGATTGGTCCAGGAACAGTCCAGGCGGGGATCTATTCTTACAAGGCACTCCCTTGTACATCTATCCTTCTGCCCAACCACGGGGAAACTAAAGGATTCGACAGTGACTGGCGCTGAAGTTTTCGAGAACACCACAGACATCAGCTCGTACAGCTACAATCCGACTACTCAGGCAGGCTCTTCTTTTCTCGTTTGGGACGATGGGTCTGATCTTGTTCAAGGAACTTGTCAGCTACGATACCCCAGACATTGTCCGATTGAAAGCTCAATACAGCATCACTAATGGATTGGCCGGTTCGATGTTCTGGGAACTATCTACTGATAAGGTGGGCTCCGATTCGTTGGTAGGAATCAGTGCCGGTGTGTTTGGTCTGCTCGACCAGACTTGGAACCATATCAGGTATGTCTAGATACGGCGTGTTTCTCTCACTTAAGATTGGGCCCAGCTTTCCCTCGAGCTCCTGGGACAATATCCGTTCAAATATGGGGCAAGGTGCTCCGACAGGGCCAGTTACCACGGCGGGACCAGGGACGACAATGACCGCCACCACCATCACCACTCCCATTGTTTCGACACCGACGACGACGAGTTCCGATAGTGGATCCACTGGTTCGCCGGGATCGGGCTTATGTACTGGTGTCTCAGCCTGGACCTCTGCTGTACGTATGAGTCCCTAGATCATCTCATCTTATCTTACTTATCATCTGGCAGGCCGTGTTTACAGGTGGAATGGAGGCCACTTACAATGGACATCTCTGGACTGCCAAATGGTAAGCAAGTGTGACAAGCATGCATCCTGTCCCGACTCAATTCTTCCCAGGTGGACCGAAGCCGATATCCCTGGTGGCTCAGGTACGTTACGGAGTCACTATGACTCTTACGGCACTCATGGTGTGATGCAGCCGGCGTTTGGTCCGATGACGGCGCCTGCTGAATAGTTTGTTAGTTTTACACATTGTACATCCCATGTGCATCTAAATCATTCGTGTTTGCATGGCGATCACCACAATGCTCTGCTACATGTACCGACGGAAAATCTTCTCAGCCACCTGCTAAGCGCAGCCACGTGGGTGTGGAGTGATGTCCCATCAAATGCTGTGCATAAGGATTGGCATGTTATTTGCCTCCGTTCTACGCACGCGCGCCAGCGCGTACCTCAGCAAAATTAAATTCCGGGTGTGCAAGAATCCCAATCAGGAACATTGACCCCATCTCATCCACCCTGCCTGTCAATGGGCTCGCATCCGACGACGGAGCGTTACTACAACATCAACCCAAAGTTCGGACCCAGAAAAAGTTGCAAAAGACACGTCAAACTTGCTCCTGATTCCAACATCGCGTTACTACGAAGTTTTCTTATCATGCAGGCCGATGACGCGCTGAATTCATCATGGATAAGAACTTCGTAGGTGTCTGGGGTCTCTCATCAAGGGAACGCGTCCCAGATTCATGGCGTCCGTTCGATTAAACCTGTGGTTCTTTCATCTGCGGCACATTCTTCCCGTCTAGCTCAGGCTTGTAGATCGCTCATCCCTGTTGCTTTCGTTCCTTGTTCATGTCGACCCCAACAGCCAGCCGCCCCAGCATGAGTAGATACACGCAACACTCGCCGCCGTCCTCGTCCGAGTCGGCGCATCGCTCGAGCCCAACCGACCCTCTTTCTCCGCCGCGTCCATTTTTCTTATCACAAGACTCTCGTCGAAGTTCAGACTCCTCCTCCTTATCCGACTCGGGCCGAGATTCACAGGTGCCGCTGACCACCAAATCCCGCATCTCCCAGGCGCGGCGTCGCTCAGGCATGGATCCTTCCTCTGGAGCTAATCAGTATGCTCCCGTCTCTTCCTCAACTCCAACTTCTGCCAAATCGCCTGCGTCTCGACGCAACTCGAACCCCTTCGAGCACGAGGCCGCGGGTTACACTCATTCACAGGATGGTGAATATGCGCCACTGGGAGGCGCTGGGACCGAGGACTATGAACTCTCACCAACTTGGAATGCTAGTGCCCTCTACCACAATGACATCGAAGACGGATCGACAGGCCGCGGGCGTTCGTCGCGGCCTCCACCCAGCAGCTTTCAGTTCCCGTTCCAAGGTTGGCCTCAATTTGCCTTTTTATTGCGACCCTGAACACGAATTCCATTTAGCGTACCCGGGAAACCCTGATCCCATTCCTCGTCGTCAGCGATCTCGTTCGTCAAGTGTCACATCTCAGAACCGCCACGCATTTTCCGAATCATCTCACGACTCGCCGGTTGTAGCAAATCCCCCGCCGACTGCCTTCATGGACCGTGGCCGCAACGCGTCGACGTCGTCGCTCGGAGGAAATGGTGTTTACCGCGGCTCTGCTATCATGGGGATGATGTCGGGCTCTCAGACTGCCCTTGCCAGCGAAGGCGGGCAAGAGGTCATCATGCAGGAACTTCGCAGTGGACCCAGTCGACCTTTTGCGAATGAGGAGGGTATCCCTCGCACATCGTCTCAGCCATCGTTTCGAGCTCCCTTTCTGTCTCCTGCTTCCCGGCCAAGCTCGTCATTTTGGACGCCGCCCACATACCCATACTCAGGAACCTCGACCATGGGCGGATCCTCGAGCGCACTGGCTCTTCCAGGACCTCGAGCGCCCGCTCCTTCGACACGAATTGCAGCCAAATTGACCAAGGAAGATAAGCCATGGCTGCAACGAGCTGCACCTCGGGCGCGTGTTTCGTGGTGGATGACTTTGTTCTGCATGTTCTTGGGTGTGGTTGGTTCTGCTTTCCTCTGCTACTTTGGCATCACTGGCGTCGACCGATTGACCGACAACCAACTTTGCTCTGTCTTAGATGACAATTTGATACCTTCGATCTCACTAATACTTGGACTCGGGATGTCCAGCTTGGTGGATTCGGCAACGCTGAATTCCAAATCGCGTCCTCTTTCGACAACAACTCATATGTCTCGAACGGAGAGCTCTACATCATGCCTACATTGACGTCGGACTGGTTGGGCGACAGCACCGTCAACTCGGGCACTATCACGCTCAATCCCTGCACGGAAGCGCTGACGAACGCGACGGCCTGCACCGCTTCGGGTAATGGCGTGGACCAGGTCATCAATCCCATCATGAGTGCCCGCATCAGTACCAAGGACCACTATTCGATGACATACGGCCGCATTGAAGTCCGCGCGAAACTACCTCGAGGGGACTGGCTGTGGCCTGCGATCTGGATGTTACCCACGAGCGGCACTTGGCCAGTCGATGGGGAGATCGACATCATGGAGGCCCGGGGAAATGGACTGTCGTACGGAGCTCAGGGCAGCAACTTCGTGAGGTCGACCGTGCAGTACGGTCCTTTCGCTGGGCTCGTCCACAGGCTGTTTGGCTGGTACAGTCTCAAGGTCCGTATTTTGACCAACTTTCGGACGCTGGTTGACGATGATCCAACAGCGCGCAGGCTTCAACGAGGGATTCCACACTTACGGCTTGGAATGGGACGACAAGTTTATGCGTTTCTATGTCGACAGCAGGATTCACACCGCCCTGGATCTGACAACCAAGAACTCCAAGAGCAGTTTCTGGAACCGTGCTGGGTCTGTAGTTTACTTGACTCGGCCTCCCCGTCACTTATCTTTGCATAGCTTTCCGCAAACAGCCCAGAACGGCTCTGCGCAAGTGGTGGTGCAAAATCCGTACAAAAACCTCAACAGTCCCTTTGATCAACGTGAGTTCCGCTGCCTTATGCATCGCTTGCTAATCACGTTCCTCGTGCAGCCTTCTACTTGATAATTGACCTAGCAGTCGGAGGCACGAGCGGATGGTTCCCCGACAGTGTCGGCGGCAAGCCCTGGTTCGATGGCTCCCTGAGTGCGTTTTCTCCGTCCGCGTCAGATCGATGTTGACACCGCATGCAGCTGCCATGTCTGACTTTTGGAAAGCCAAGGTATGTTTATCATCGGTTCATGTCTTTCATCCACCAATTCATCGTGCAGAACACCTGGTATCCCACCTGGCCAAAGAATGCGGCAGATGGTGCATTCCGAATGTGTGTACTTTTTGTTCAGTTCCAAAAGTAGCGCTGACGATTGGCTAGCGACTATGTGAAAATGTGGAAAAAGTGTTGATCAAACAGGGGAGCTTTATCTCCGCATACCCATTTTGGACAATAGAATACACGTATCTGTATGATTCTCCACCATGCAAACCGCCGAGAGTATCAATTCAACCCTATTACGGTCGCGTGACGTCATGCAAGCGTGTTCATTATGTAATGCTGGTTCTGCAGTGTGAGTTAGTTCAACTGAAGCTAAGTACTGTCCTGAATGCTCTCTAATTGTCGTCGGGAGCAAGACTGAATATCTCACGCTAGTGGGCGTTGCCGAGAGGAACGTGGACAACGACGGCTTGAATGACCGACAACAGCATGTCCGCGGTTGCGGAAGATGGTACCCCGGACACCCGGACATCGAACTTTTCCGGTCACAATCACTCCCTTCAGATCAGCAGAATGCTCGCGTCGTACACACGGATAAGCGTGCAGGCCTTCTTCTCTCCTTCCGTTCCTTCCTTCAACGTTCCCTGAGGGCCACAACGCGCTCCTTTTGTTGTCCCCCTCACGCGTGTTGCACTCTTTTCCTACTCTCTAAACAACAAAGATTCCTAGAAGGCGTGCCATAGACCTGTGCTACGATGGACTACGACCGATGGGACGCACTCTTGCACTATCTGTTCAAACAGACTCAGGGCGATGCCTGGTTTCGCCCCGATGAGCCTGTGTCTTCTGGAGTGGCTCTCCGTGTCTCTGACGGGACGCGATCTACTGGCGGTAGTGGAACGAACACTCCAACAGGCGGTTGGTTGGTCGCTCCTTGCACGGCTGTATCCGAGTGACGACATTCACAGGTCAAACTGGACCTTCCTTTCGTGTCTTCCCATACGAAAATCCCGCGCTCGAACCTTTCGAGACTGCAGTCACTGCCCTCAATCCTCAGGTCGCTGTGAAAATACGAAGTGCAGCAGTTCATGCCGCTTTGGCTGATATGTAGGTCTCGTGCGCGATCCCCTCGTCGATCAACTCACGGAGACTTCAGAGCGATGGACGAGAAAAGTATTTACGTCGATGCCAACACCCGAATACAGGTCCTCGACAACATGCTCATGCTTCCTCATGCAGAGAAGGAACAATGTGCTGCTTTCATTGTCAGTTTTTCTCTGCTGCGGTTTTGTCCCCGTTAACAAATTTCACAGCGCGACGAGCGCGTGCTCGTGGTCTGGTCTGATTCTCTGGACTCCATCATACCAACCTGCCAGGATTTCGAAGACCGGCTCATTAAACTGCTCTGGCGTTCACGCCCCTCAGGACCCTCGGCTTCCTCTCATCTCGGCTCGGCTACAGGCTCAGTCACGTCGCACTCTTCGCTGCCCCCTCGTCCGGACGAGCGCAGTCCTTACGATCCTGAGAAGCCCATGGTGTCAGAGGAAGGGGGTGCATTGCAGACACGCAGCTCTCAGGTTCGGACTCGCCGCACTTGGTATGGGAGAAAGGTTGCGACAACTGCTGCGTTTGCGGCTGATTTGGAGGCGGATCGTCGTGACGTCCGTGCGGCAACTTTGTATGCTCCAGTCTACAACGGGCTCGCTGCTGGCCTCTCCTTCAGTAAGCTCTCCCATGGATGAAAGTCGAGATCTGACATATCTGTAGTCTTCATCGGAACTGGTGTGAAGACTTTGCTGCAGGAGTGGGTTCTGGACAACTCTTTCATTCGTTTCGCACTTTGCGCATTGTGCCCGCTGCTTTGGTGTGTCGGACTGGTGTGCTAATTCAGTGTTCGGCTAGCTCTTATATCTGATCGCATTGCCAGTTCTTTGCTCTCCAACTGATTCAGAACATCGCGATGTGGTGCGCCACGCCATCCAGCCATCATCAACATAAGCCTAACATCACTTTCAGTATCGGACCTGTCGCTCACTTCCATGAAAACTCCAAGTATTACAGTGCAATCAAACCCCGTGCCAATAAAGCTGTCGACGAGAATCTGCCTCACATCACCATCCAGATGCCGGTCTACAAGGAAGGCCTCGACTCTGTGCTCGCACCATCCATCGAGTCGTTGAAAAAGGCGATGCAAACCTACGCTCGCCAAGGCGGAACCTCGACTATCTTTATCAACGACGATGGTTTACGGTTGCTTTCACCTCCTGACCGCGACGAGCGTCTTGCCTTTTATGCTAATCACAACATCGGTATGTGACTGTCCCACACATGGATTCTTGACCTCGTTGAGTCAATTGCCTAGGCTGGGTTGCTCGACCAAAACATCAGAACGAGAAAGACGGCTTCAAACGTGCCGGAAGGTTCAAAAAGGCATCAAACATGAACTATGGACTAGAGCTTTCCCTGAAGATGGAACGACACCTGGAGCGACTTGTAGCCAGCCAACCCAATGCCGGCGCCACGCCGACTCTGGCTGACCTTGGCGGAGATCCGAATGCACCGTTGCCACCGCCTCCCGGAGCTTTCCGTAACGCAGGAATGCCCCATCGAATGAGCTTAGCTCGGCAGACACCAAAAGCTTTTACGGTGCCGGGCAGTACGGCTTACAGTACCAGAACCGTGAGGGCGAAGACATGAACGTTCCCTCTAGCCTCATGGGGGAAACCCCTGGTGCCGATGATCTCGAAGAACGCGCGCTGGCCATGGCCATGGACGAGATGTATGATGAAACGGGCAAGATGTACCGTCCCTGGGCAGCGAATGGGAAATCATGCCGTCTTGGTCAGTATCCTGCCGCCATCTGCGTTAATCAGCTGACAGCTGTCTAGGGGAGTACATCCTCATCGTCGATTCCGACACGGTGGTACCGGAAGATTGCTTGCGAGATGCAGCGCGCGAGTTGTCAGAATGTCCCACTGTCGCAATCATTCAGCACGAGTCGGATGTCATGCAGGTCGCACATCACTACTTCGAGAACGGCATCGCATACTTCACTAGGCGGGTCAACAGATGCATTTCTATGGGTGAGACAGAACTGTTGCGGGTTTCTTCGGTCAGCTGACCTATTCTCTCAGCCTGCGCCAATGGCGAGGTGGCGCCATTCATGGGCCACAATGCGTTCTTGAACTGGAAATCAATCCAAGATGCTGCCTTCATTGACCCGGCCGATGGAAAGGAGAAGATTTGGAGTGAAACCAATGTCAGCGAGGACTTTGATATGGCACTACGTCTGCTGCTTCGCGGCTACATCATCCGCTGGGCAACCTACTCCAACGGTGGTTTCAAAGAGGGCGTCTCTTTGACTGTGGATGACGAGCTCAATCGGTGGCAAAAGTATGCTTACGGTGAGTGTTCTTTCTTTTACACGAGTATGAACGGATGTTGACCAGGGGCAGGTTGCAGCGAACTGTTGTTCAATCCCCTTGCACAATGGTGGAGAAAGGGTCCGATCACCTCCCAAATCCACAAGTTTATGTGGTGCAAACCGGCGCCGATGCATTACAAAATTTCCATGCTGGCGTACATGTTTTCGTACTGTACGCATCGGTCTTTACATCCATTTCTTTATCTAACTTGTTCTAGATGGTATCGCTGCCTCGGTTACCATCGGCCTCATCAACTATGTGCTGCTAGGCTTCGAATTCCCCGTCGATGGCTTCTACCGTCCAAGTTTCGAGATCTGGCTGGCATGTACCGTTGTTTTCTTCGGCACGGGCACAGTCGGCTACACTCTACTCGAGTATCGTTTGGGCCACAAGAACATGGTGTGTAACACCGTAGTTCCCTGACTTTTTGGTCGCTGATCTATGCACAAGATTCACGGCGTGTTTGAAAACCTGATGTGGATCCCATTCTTGTTAGTCTTCTTTTCGCCTTGATATTCGTTGTTCACATTTGCCTCCCAGCTTTTTCTTTTTCGGAGGTCTCGGCATCCCAGTGAGCCAGGCTATCCTCGCACACCTGTTCTCGTACAACATCCAGTGGTCTGCGACCATCAAGGAAGTAGAACGCTCCAATTTTTTCAAAGAAATTCCCAAGATCCTCAAGCGGTTCTGGTTCCCTCTCCTTGCCTGTGTCATTATCATTGCTGCTTTAATTGTGCTTTCGACCGGAATTGTGCCTATCCAATGGCGTGTCACCGGTAGTTCTTGGGGTGTAATTTTCCCATTGTCGTGAGTAAACTTCTCTTCTGCCCACTACACACCCAAATTAATGTGAACTGTTAGTGTTGTCGCTGCATCTCATATCCTGTTTCCCGTCAGTGGTCTTTTGGTTTCTATAAATTTTGCTGACGTCGATGCAGATTGTCTTGAACCCTTGGCTCATGGTTTTCTCGTACTGACCAGCCTGGACATTGTTGTCGAATACACGATCTTTTGTACATTACTTGCTGACTCTAGATCAACATTTACGGACCAGTTACCGCTACGATTGCCTTTACATACCATACCGTTAAACAATCTCAATTGAAGATGCGAACATCGACTGACTTCATATCATGTATATTGAGATCGACAAACACTTACACACGACGCGTCCGGTCACGCTTCTTGGTCATGACGACCACAATCCCCACTTTCTGGCAGTCTCTCGTCGTACGCTAGCGGTTTCTTGGATTACACCCAGAGCGTACTCAATGACATATCTCACCTACTCAAGGCGGGAGGACTTGCTGGAACCTCGGTCGATCTACTTTTCTTTCCCGTTGACACGATCAAGACGCGACTCCAATCTCCTCAAGGGTTTGTCAATGCAGGAGGTTTTAGGGGAATCTACAAAGGTATAGGAAGTGTTGGCGTGGGAAGCGCTCCAGGAGGTAGACTGCATTTCTGTTTGTTTTTCGCTCGGGTTTCGATCCCCAACAGCTGCTGTCTTCTTCGCGACATATGATACACTCAAGAAGGCCTCGCCACTCCCAGCCGAGTTGAGCGCGCTCACGCATGTCGTCTCTGCATCTATGGGCGAAATTGTGAGTGCAGTCCTGTCGGCTTTGTCCCAGACAAGCTTGAACAGCGGATTTCCAGGCAGCTTGTTTGGTTCGCGTGCCGACAGAGGTGATCAAAACACGAGCTCAAACTTCAACATACGGTCCCGGGAAATCATCTCTCGCAGCCGCAAAACATGTTCTAGCCAGTGACGGTCTGCGAGGGTACTACCGTGGCTTTGGAACGACCATCATGCGCGAGGTGCGGAGACTCGCGGAGTCAGATCTCCTCACTCTCATGAAACGGTCCAGATCCCCTTTACATCGATACAATTTCCCCTCTATGAAGCTCTCAAGGCACGGTTGTCTGCTTTCACGGGGCGGAAGCCGTTGTATGCACATGAAGCTGCAGTGTGTGGAAGTTTCGCGGGTGCAGTCGCTGCATCTCTGACGACCCCGTTGGACGTGCTCAAAACACGTGTCATGCTGGATATGCGGGTCAGACATGCTAATTTTATGTCTACCATAGTCTGATGACTTGTAGGACATGACGCAGCAACAACCTTCTATCCCTGCTCGGTTCTTTCTCATCTATCGAACAGAGGGCGCTTCCGCACTATTTGCGGGTGTGGTTCCCCGAACATTATGGATTTCAGCAGGTGGAGCAGTCTTCCTGGGCATGTACGAGTGGGCCGTGCACGGTCTCATGGGCTGGTAGCTGGCCGCGGTTTAATCTTATCTACGGTTTATCTAGTTAAGTACATTGTGCCAACAGTTTAGAGATGCTGCGTACACGTGATTCGCACTTTGTCTGCCACGACCACAAGATGCTGAGCCCTGCGTGGGCGGCGACGAGCTCGCCCATTGAGGTCCTTATCACCCGAGCATGCGATCCCTCTCTACATGAGCCCAACTATGCCATGCATCTCGAGGTCGCAGATTTCATCAACCAGAAAAAGGCCAACAATCCTCGCGAAGCCGCCATGCTGATTGCCCGTCTCGCCTGCAACCGCAATCCCCATGTGGCCCTCCTCGCTCTGGCCCTCTTGGACACCCTCGTTCCCTCATGCGGATACCCCTTCCATCTCCAGATCAGTACAAAGGAGTTCTTGAACGAACTAGTGCGTCGGTTTCCGGATCGCCCCCCGCCGTTCCCGGGCCCAGTCATGTCCCGCATCCTGGAGTGCATCCAGAACTGGAAGGACACGATATGCACGGAATCGCGGTGGCGGGAGGACCTGACGAACATCGTGGACATGCACCGGCTGCTGATGCACAAAGGATATCGCTTCCGCCATGTACCGCGCCAGCAGCCCAGCGCTTCGTCGACTGCATCCACGGTCGCTGCGAACCTTAAAAGCGCATCGGAGCTGGAAGCAGAGGATCGGGAGGCGCAGAGCGCCAAGTTACAGGAGTTGATTCGACGAGGTACACCCAAAGATCTACTTGTCGCGCAAGAGATCATGAAGTCGTTGGCTGGTGCGGATCCATCGAATCAAGTCGATTACCGCAGCCAAGCGCTCTCTGAGCTGGAGCGATTGGAGAGCAAGGTCGTATTGCTAGTGGAGATGCTAGACAATATGGCCAGTGGGGAGCGAACCGTTGCTGGAGATGCCTACGAGGTATGCCTTAATTTCAACTGACCACTGAGAACTGGCTCTCACGTTGGACATAGCAAGTAGCAGATATTCTGAGTGCGTCACGACCCAAGATTCAAAAGTGGATCTCAGATGCGGAGACTAACGATGATGATTCTGAATCTTTGGGTATGCGTCTGGACTCTTTTCGCCCTTCCTGTGCTAATTTTCATCCTCAGATACCTTCCTTCAAATCAACGACCAAATCAACAATGTTCTCGCGCGATATGAAGCCTTCAAACGCGGGGATTATGAGGCCGCGGCGAATCCCGTGCCGTCCCAATATGGTGCTCCGCCGGCAAGCACGTCGTTGATAGACTTCGACGACATCTCTGCACCTGCTGCCGCAAACAGCGGCGTTAATGAGCTGGATGGGTTGTTCGGGTTGGGATCTACAGCCCCCCAGCCATCGTTGGGCCCGGCATTGGCTAGCTCGCCACCGCCAGCTGTCAACGTGGCCACGCGACCGGTGATGAGCCCGTCCCCGTCAGTGTTCTCCCAGACTCCCGGTGCCATCATGCTCCCTGGGACCCCAATCCCGCAGTCTCAGCCGACGAAACCGACGATGGGATATCTCGCCGGCTCACAGCCAACGAATGGCAGCTCAGTGCCTCAGTCATCACAACACCAAGGCAAAGACCCATTCGCAGATCTAGCCGGGCTGTTCTAGTGGTAGATAGCAGGCACATATGTATTGTGGAAGGTAGACTTCTGGCATCAAGCTGCAGTCGGTGCAAGGACAAGAACGGGGCGAAAGTGAAATGTAAGGAAGGCGTTAAGCTTCGATTCAATAGCGAGCGCGCTCCAGTGGATGTACAAGTTACATTGGCTTAAAGCCACCTATGGATTATATCTTACGGTTTGTTCGTACATTAAGAGCGCGTTAGATTAAAGATAACGTCCGTTGTTGTTTGCATTTGTTCCAGAGAATGCATCTCCCACACCTGCGCCGGGCGCTTGACCCCCAAGATGACGGTGGTCAGGATGAGCACCAAAGCCGACTGCACGATCCCGGCGAGCTAACGCCTCTTGCTCGAGAGCTTCAGCCCGATTCAGCTCGCTGCTCTGGACTTTGTACGCCTTGGCTTCCCTGAGAGACGATGAGATGACGAATGACCACGATAGATTTTACTGACTGCTCCTTCTGAAGGCCCTTGGCCTTGAGCGACTGACTGCCGACGAGAGTCCCGAGCGCATGCTCCATTTTGCCTACCATGGCACCTCCACCGGTCGCGGGTGGCGCGTTCGACCAGTTGCAGTACCTGATGCCCCGGCGCCCATACCGGTGCCAGCCAGGTTGCCTGCCCCCATTCCGGCAGCGCCTGCTCCGGTGCTGTGTAGCCAGCGCCAGTACCTGGGCCCACTCCAGCGCCTGTTCCAGCTCCCATGTGGTGGTGGCGTCCGCCGCCAACCTGGATGGAAGAGTTAGAGCAAGGAGGTAAATTCTAGCTGAAGAGTCGCACATGGCCGGTTGCACCGCTGTGGTTGTTGCCGTCATATCCGGCATCGTTATATCCGGCGTCTGAATATCCGCCGCCAGCATTGCTTGCATAGCCGTCGTTATATCCCGTATTCGGTCCGTTGTATCCGTCGCCAGCGGTTGGGTCCATAGGGCCTTGACGGCGCTGCAGAATTGAGGTCATGATCAGTGGCCATCCTTGAAGCAGCAACATCGCACGCACGCGAGTATCAAAGTTGTTATTGTTGTGAGTTATGATAAGTGTGTAATGCTACTCATCGGGGCGAGTCGCAGTTTATGAAGACATTCCTGGATCCACTGACGCAATCGGTGAGTATACTCCAATGTGGATACTTCCTAGCTGTGTAGATAGCAATTGGCAATGACGGAGAGATCATTATGCAGCCTTGCACGTCAGTCGAGGTAACTGGTGACGAGTGTGGAATGAGGTCACATGACCGCGTTTGCCGAGCAACTCTCTCCACAGAGCAGATGTAGCGTAACAGTCTTGAGATCGGCATCTATAACGATCCTCGTTGAGGCCTTGAGGCCACATCCAAGTGGGTATCACCATGAGTAATATTTCAAGCCACGCGCTCGAGCAACTTGTGCAAGCTTTGCTTTGGATCCGATTCTACTTCGACAGGCCAATCTACAATCTGCCTTTCGGTCGGAAGCATCTTCCAGTTCGGAGAGGGCGTTGCTTTGACATGGGAGAAGTCCTGGACGGAAAAGGAGGACTGCCTGTGTATCAGCGTCTGCGGAAGGACGAGCGAACAGAGGATGTACCACAGAGTCTGGCGCAAATGAGGAAGGATATGGCGCAAAGCGAATACCGGTGCAGTGCTCTATGATAGGCGTCGCAGTGTGCAAGTAGACATCGACGTTGCTTGAGGAATGCATTCGAAACTACGAGCAGCAGTCTGCATCCGATGCCCATCACAGCAGAAGAAGACGCACTTGATGAGAGCCCACCACCACAATGCATCTGGTGAGATCATGGACCAACACGCTTCCGGAGACGAGAGGCAATAGCAATATTGTGTCCGACAGATTCTGTACGTGGATGGCTGAGAACCCCCCATCGCCTGTCGATTCTGATAACAAGTTGACAATACACCAGCTCAGCTCCGAGACGATCAGGTCAGAGCTCTGCGACGCAGAGGCGAGCGCCGATTTGGTGATATATTTGTGCGACTGAGAGGTGATGGAATTGCTGGACGTCGTGGAGACGGCTTCGACGGGGGCAGGCGACGATGAGGGCACGGGGACAGCGGATGAGTGGGATGGCGTTCCTGCGACCGCAGCCTTGCGCTTGAATGCGAATTTGGATTTCGGTCTGCTATCGCGGAGAAGTTGCAGTGACTTTTCGAGTTCTTTAATTTTCTGGGCTTCATTTCATACACGAATAGGGCGGTTTCTGTTGGAATTGAACAGACCGACTCGTATTGGCGCTGCTCGTACGTCGGCAATGATCCCACTGCCTCGCCGAGCATCTTCGTGAACTTGGCCAGGTCGATCGACAGATCATCGACGGAGGCCGCCGTGGCGGATGCAATCCGCGATTCCAATTCTAGAAATCGGCGGTATTCGGTATCCGGGTGAGGCAAAGAAGCTGGTGAGCGGACCCGTTCGAGCATTCTGGAACTGGGATGCGAAGGTCTGCGAGAATGACCACTGGGCGTCCGACATGGTGGTGGTGTGAATCAAGTCCTTTGATTGTGACAAAACTAAGTACATACAGAATTGTCCAGATACAAGCACAGTAACATACAGCAGGCCGACTCAAAGCATACACGAATGGATCTGCAGGCATGGTGGTTTTACTTTTCTCTCAGCAGCGATGCGGTCGACAATCTCCTTGGATATATAGACAAATTTGTCCGTCGGCTCACTGTCGCTGGTGGCCTCCGCCTTCAGGGATTGCTTCAGCTGGTCTTCATCGTCATATGACAGCCGCATCGCGAGAAAGCCGACTTCATTCAACGCGAAGGCTGCATCGTCGATTCGGAGGTTGGTGGCCTTAGCGAGATCCTCCAACGTACATCGAAGAACGACGTGCATCGTAGCGCTGCCGTCCTCTTTCGGAGTGATGGCGAACGTACGAAACCGGGACACAAAGTCCGCTTTGAGAACTATCAGTAAGCTCATCGAGGTGAATCAAAGAAAGCGACGCACCATCCTCAGAATAAGAGGAAGGCTCCAGGAAATTTGGTTCCTCGCCACCATAACCTTTGGGTCGTCTTTTCCTCTTGAAACCGGTAGAAGCGCTCGGTGTCACTGAGTTTCCACTATTGGGGATGGCCGGCGAGCCCTCCTCCTCATCCACTTCACGGGACATCGCCCGCAGGGGTCCCACATACTTGGTGTTTGGGGGCAGCACTTGGAGGACACGTCTGGTGGATGTAATTATTGGGCGTCACTCTTGCAAGCGACTCACCCACCTGAAGAACCGAATAAGAGTCGCAACCCAATACGCAAGATAACTGCGTAGACCAAGATCTGACAAGGGCCGCTCAGGAGTGCCAAATTTGCCGGCCCGTCGCGAGAGTTCATAACTGAACTCAATCATGAGCATCCCATAGCCTTTACGCTGCCAGGGCGGTAATGTGATGATGCAAGCCAAGTTGTAGTCGTCGTAGGACGCCTTTTCTTTGGAAAAAAAGCCGATAACATTGTCCTTGGTGGAGGATTCGGCATCCGTCATCATGTAGAAAAGAACTAGGAAATAGAGGTGAGATATGGGGTGACGATCAACATCGGCTAGAGGCTTACAATTATCACAGTCGAAGAAAAGAGTCTTCGTGTCGATGAACAGTTTACCAAATAGCGTAAGGTTTTGACAATACAACTGTAACAAGTTAGCCTTGGATGGTAGGAGCCGGCCTGCTGACTTTATGGACAGCACCGTCGACCTCCCAGATAGTGTGAGCACCACGCGCGTAGACTTTGCGCCCTGGTGGATGCTTCAAATTGCATTTGTGCTTCTCATACAACGCGACATCCGTCATATATTTGAAGCAGTACTGGCAAACCCAAAGCAGGGGTGTCTCTGATCGTGTCTGGCCGCCCGCGAAGAGGTCCAAGACACGAGTATGAGAGCGCACAGTGCCATGACGAGGGATCCTGGCAGCCGTAAGAACGTTGGTGTTATTTGCATGCCCGTTCACAGCGTTCGTGAGTGCGGAGAGCTCTTGGTCTTCATGTTCGGCAAGAGGGTATGGAGAGAAATACCTAGAGAACAGGATAAGAGCACAATAAATAAGAGAAAGCTGAGCACACACCATGTACGAATCTGCCAATCCCCATAGTTGACCTTGTCGATGTTCCTCTGCGCCGTGATCTTCTTATGATGCTCCAAGTCGTAGTCCTCCTCCGACATTACAACTGTGCGTTCGACGCGATCCATTGGTGTGTCGGGGCTCGGGGAGTCGCCAGAGTTGCTTCGTCGACTGGCGGAATCGTTCGTGGCAGGTACAAAAAGATTCTCGTCAATCCACTCGTCCATGCGTTTGTCCCGATCCACGTAGTGCACGTAGACCTGGCCCTCGCGCCGATTCATGATCTGAGCGTGCTCTGCCAGTCATTGTGAGATTGGTAGGGAAAAAATTGGGGGACGCACGTTCTGCCCCATTCTTAAGCACAGTTCCAGAGGGCAGCGCAGCCGGTAAAGTGACCACATGTGTCGCAGGCATGAAAGTTATGGTCGAACCAAGTTCGAAGGTCAAAGTTTATTTGACACAACAGGAGTGACGTTATTTGCTAATTATGGTTGATCACTCGCGATCACATCATCATAGTCCCTCTCACCACGACCATTCATACCATCGACCACCTGCGTGTTTAGAACTTTGCGACTCTAACGATGGTCCACATTTTCTCTATCTCTATTCTCAAGGCCCCCTCATCCGGCGCTGGTACCCTTCTTGCCTCAGCCAGCGACCTCAGTTCCTTCTCTTTCTTCCAGAGAGGCTCCATCGCTGAATTCATGCCCTTCTTCTCCAAGACGGTAGCCGAACGTACTCCGCAGGGGCAGAGACAGAGCGTACAGGAGAATAACTATACAGCTCACGTCTATAACCGTGGTGGACCAGAAGAGTTGGCAGGTACGGTGCCTGAATGTCACGACGTTGCCGATGTTGAGCTGCGCTGCAGCCGTCATCATAACAGACCAGGAATACCCCGTCCGACCGGCATTCTCACTCCTGGCCAAAGTTCTCGATGACTTTGTCGCCAAGATTCCTAAAGGCTCCTGGGACGATCCGGCGAAGATATCATTCCCGGAATTGGAGTCGTACTTGTCCAAGTATCAAGATCCAAGACAGGCTGACACGATCATGCGGGTTCAAGCTGAGCTGGATGAGACCAAGATCGTTCTGGTGTGTTCTATCGCATGATCTTGTCTCGAGTCTAATCGTAGGGCAGCACAAGACGATCGAGTCGGTTCTGCAGAGAGGAGAGAAGCTTGATACGCTTGTGGACAGGTCGAACCATCTTTCCGCACAAAGCAAGATGTTCTACAAGACGGCCAAGAAGGTACCCATCTCCAAGTTCTGTTCTGCTCGGGCTCTGAAGAGTATTCTTAGCAAAATAGCTGCTGTGTTATCATGTGAACCTCGTTTGCATACTATCTCATCTACATACCAAGATATCTCCCCGCATTCATCTGTAATGGACAGCCTGGCATTAACCACGTTTCTATCTAATTCAGGATGTCTATTGTTGCATTGCCGGGACATGACGACGGTCGATGGGCAAACCAGCTGGTTTTTTGGGTCAGCATGGGTAATCCGCGCTAAACACGGAGAAGCACTCCGATGTCATCGAGGCGGTGAAATGGAGGTTGAATTCCACCGACCTCTCCAAGCAAGATCAGAGGTTTCCGCGCGAGCTAGATTGAGCGAGACCGGACGGCGGCCTTGTCCTTGAGCACAGCCATGCAGCGCTCAGTGCATCTTCCAGGCCCAAACAACTATCGGGCATCGCCTCCGTCTGGAATTCGCCAGTAATGGCTGAGCGAGTCCGACATGAATCTGCCTCCGTGATAATGGTAACCGGAGATCAGATCATACAGGTGAAGGCTGCGTCAAGTTCATCATCATCTTACATACAGCCCTGTTCATCTTCATATATACTGCCATGCCATTGCACTTACCGCCACTTCTATTCGCACCTCCTAATCATGTCTTTCCACACACTACACCCTGAGGACCTTGACCAGCACATTCGTACCTCGCCGTTGGCACTGTCTGACCTGGTCTGTTACCACCAGCGACACATGCCCTGCGGACATTGACGCTCACCAGCCCGGATACTTCGACGCGCTCGAGCACTTCAGTTCCATCGATGACCGCAAGTTCCTGCTCGAGAATATGGTGACCCTCATGTCCCGCATCTCGGGATCTTCAATCTTCTCGAGCTTGTCGCGAAAGTTGCAAGACACCCTTATAGATATCCGTTCGTGCCGCCCCCATCATCCTTCTGAGCTCTCTCTTAACTCGAAAGCAGTTTACAAGGATCTTCCACACCCTCCGAGCACGTATCTCAGCTCCCTCGCTACCGGGGCAACTTCCGCCGGCGGCGCCGGCGTCAAGTACGCCTACCGGAACGCTGATGGGTCGAACTACGTCCCGCTGTTTCCGGGTCTTGGAAAGCCAATGCGCCCTACGCGCGATCTGTCCCGGCATCCAACATCACTCCGCCCGCGTCGCTGCCGTCCGCGGGGCTCGTCTTTGACACGCTGCTCGCGCGGGACGAGTTCACGCCTCACCCCGGAGGCATCAGCGCGCTTTTCTTCGCCTTCGCGGATCTTATCATCCACAGCATTTTCAACACCAACCACGCGGATCCGACTGTCAACGCTACCAGCAGCTATCTGGACCTGAGCATCCTATATGGCAACTCGCAGAAAGAGCAAGACACTGTGCGGTGCAAAGATGGAAGAGGCGGGCTCTATGCGGACTGTTTCGCAGATAGCCGTCTGCTTCACATGCCGCCCGCTGTGTGCAGCTTGCTCGTGGTGCTGAGCAGGAACCACAATGCAAGTCGCCTCGTTTTGTTTGCTCGAAATGCTGATCCCTCCGCACAGTACACTGCCCAGAAGATCTTGGAGATCAACGAACGCGGAATATACAAGACTTCCTTTGCTAACGACGCAGAGAAACTCGCACAGGATGATGAGATTTTCAACCGGGCGCGCCTAGTCAATTGTGGCTACTTCATGCAGATCATTCTCGGCGGTTTGTGTTTACCTTCACGAAATGGTTCCCCTGACCTTATCTCTCATAGATTACGTCGGTGCGATTCTTGGTCTCGTTCGCGATGGGTACAGCTGGCGGCTGGACCCGCTTTCGCAATCGCGCGAAGCCAACCACGAGCTATCCCCACGCGGTGAAGGCAATGTCGTCTCGATCGAATTCAATCTTCTGTACCGATGGCACGCGACGCTTTCCGAACAGGACACGGCATGGACAGAGAACATGTTCAAAGACCTGTTTGACGGCCAAGATTTCTCGACTCTCACTATCGAGGATTTCATGCGCGTCGCTCATACAAAGTTGATTCCAGACCGAGACCCCAGGGAATGGACGTTTGACGGACTGGTTCGGGGCGCAGACGGGCGGTTCAAAGACTCTGACCTGGCGACAATCCTGCAAAACTCGACTTCGTGGCGGGCTGGAGCATATAAGGCACGGGGAATTCCGGAAGTGCTGCGGGTGATAGAGGTGCTGGGAATAGAGCAGGCTAGACGATGGGGCGCGTGTTCGATGAACGACTTCAGACGGTTCCTTGGGCTGAAACGTATGTGGTGTCATGGATCGGCTTGGAGAAGATTCTTAACGCCGTCCCCAGCTTATGCCAGCTTCCAAGAATGGAACTCTGACAAGTCGGTTCATGTGTGTCACGTTCGTTTGGGGTCCCTTACAAGCACTGACTGGTTCAGACGGCTGCTGCATCCCTTTACAACGACATAGAGAATCTCGAGCTGTATGTGGGCTTGCAAGCGGAGGAAGCCAAGCCGCCGATGCCTGGAGCGGGTCTTTGTCCGGGATATACCATCTCCCGTTCTATTTTGGCCGATGCGGTCTGCCTGACCCGCGGAGACCGATTCCTGACGATCGAATTCACACCGTGGAATCTGACTGCCTGGGGCTTCAGGGACTGCCAATTTGATGCACAGGATGGGTCCTACGGAGGAATGCTGACGAAGCTACTGTTCCGAACGCTGCCAGAGTACTACCCGAGGAGGTCGGCGTACGCTCATTTCCCGTTCCTTGACCCGGCATTCATGCAAAACTTGATGGCGGAGAACAACAAAAGTCTGGTTGGCGAATATATATGGACGAAGCCAGAAATCAATGTGGAGAAGGAGGCAGTACTTGTGGTCAAGACGGAGAGTGCTGTCAGAGAAGTGCTTGCCGACCAGACCGTCTTTCCGAACGGATATGCGGACAGAGTGATGGAAGTCACGGGCCATTCAACGGTCGATCATACATTCGTGGGTTCCCCGTCTCTTGCCCATTTGCGATTTTCAAGCCGTGATAGGTCAACGATCTGCTCCTCAAAGAGAACGCGAAATGGACAGAGTACTTTGTGACAGAGACGCGAGCTTTGATCGCCCAGTTGTCGTTCGGGAACGTCAGCAAGAAAGTCCAGTACATCGACATTGTCCGCGATGTGATCAACGTTCTCCCGGTGCACTGGATTTGCAAGGAGATCGCCGGTCTTCCGCTCGGGGAGAATGTGCAAACGCGCTATCATGCATTCGCGGACGTATGCCAGTGCGTTTCTTGTTCGACGATGTCGTTGATTGCACAAGACTCACTGGCAATCCTCCTCAGATACATCTTCCTAAACTATGATCCCTCGTCAGACTGGCACCTGCGGGAAAGCGCGAAACAGGCGTTCCACGAGTTCGACAAGGTTGTGAAAAACCATCTCGGATCACGGATATCTCTGCTGGATATGGACCGATCATCGCTCGCGGAAAGCCTTCCGTTCTTGACTGAGCTGAAGGCGTCGGCTGACCGGCACCACCTGGACCTGAACGAGCTGAGCGTTGCGCTGTTCGTGGAGGTAGTGACGACCGCGGCCCACTGGTCGCAGGGAGTGACGCACATTATCAACTACTATCTCGATGAACGTCGAGTGGAGGAGAGAGCTGAGATCGTGAAGGCCGATGGGAAGAAGGCGATGGATATTGTCGGGCTGCGTTGGGTCAGTGTTTTTTCGAATGACGATCGCCTGCTGATTGCTGATGCGCTGAGCAGCCGTCGACCCGCCTGTTTGGGGAGTGTACCGAACCGCGCACAAAGACGAGAACATCGTGGAGTCGACCAAGGTGCCGCTCGGAGGGCGGGTGTTTGCCAGCATCAAAGACGCCAGTGCCGGCATGGAAAAGCCGTTGCTTGGCATCGGGGAGCACGGGCTCGTGTCTGCGCCGTTCTTTGAGTCGACTGTCCCGCGGGTGGTGAGCGAGATTCTGAGGCTGAAAGATCTGAAACGGGCGCCTGGCACATCTGGAGTGCTGAATCGGTTCACGGAGAGTGTGCACGGGGCAGCTCAGCAATGGTACATCGACTCTAAGTCTGATGTGGTTCCGTTCCCTCAGTCTTTGGTGGTCGAATACAGCGTGTGATCATAACACAGAAACTATTTAAACAGCAACAAACTATGTAAACCGTGTAATGGTCATATGCATTCCACCGCTCGTCTCGAATTGTGCGACCAGCTTGTTGGCGTGCCAGACTTGGACTGGTCTTGGTATAATCTGCGCATCGAGACTGATGTTGACCCGTTTCGGCTGACCTCCTTCCCATTCGAAATCGAGGCCCAATCCACCGCGGATGCGAGCACCTTTGATTGAACCTGTGTGCCACTGTTGTGGGAGAGCAGGAAGAAGAGTGATTTTCAAGGGCGTGTCGCGAGTGGGGACGTCTGGAGCCTGGATGATGGCGTTCAGCACCGCACCCGGCAAGCCCAGGTTCGCATCGATCTGAAATATGGGATCCGCATCAGCTGGGTCGTACAGGCTGAACAGATTCGGCCCAAAGTTCTCGTAGATCCCATACGTCAGTTGGTGGTAGAACTTGGCGGGGTCGCCCAGCTGAGCCCATGCCGCCGCCCGCCACATCTTGGCCCAGCCGGCATCCGCATCGGGGCCAGTGCCGTTCCCCCGGTGGATCAGGCTCGTTTCAGCAGCCGACAGAATCTGCTCTCTCGAGTACAGCCCCTGACCGTCGTAGTTGCTGATGGCATAACCGGGATACAGGCCAATCAGATGCGACAGATGGCGATGCGTATCGTTCGGGGCGTCCTGGTCCACTTTCCACTCTGTGGGATTCGTTCAACGAGAATTCGATTGGTGATGCGAAACCAGGCACCTTGCAGCTGGCCCCAAGATCCGACATGCAGGCCTTTGTCCATCTGCGCTCGTTTCGCCTGCACCTCTGCTGGCCATCAGAATGTGCTCCAGCAATCGAGGCTTGGAACGCACCGGCCAGGAAAGCGGTGTCGCTATCACCGGCATATGGCCAACTCTTCTCAATGGCGTTGAACAGCTGCCACACGATCTGTTGCGCGTGAGCACACCCCAGCGTGATAGGCGCCTGTTCCGGCGAGTTGCACGGCGCAACGACCAATGTGCCATCGTTGAATCGGAGATCCGGAATCAATTTGTCGAGCTGGAAAGACGCGACGGATTTCAGCAGGGGGTATCCCTGTGTCCGCAACCATGCCAGATCGTTCGTGTAATCGAAGTGGTCGAAGACGTGTAGCATCTAGCGATCTCAGCAAGGGGATCGAGCAACCGATCTTTTGCGCTCACCATCCAGACTGAAGATTCTGCACAACCGGTCAAGTTGGCTTCCATGGACAACGAGCAAACTCACCAGGATAATTGGCCCACATCGCATTGACACTGGAGTCGGCCTTCATTCCCGTGTGGCCAAAAATCTTGACATGTCACTTCGCGGTCAACGGGTCTTCGAGAGAGCAACACACATTCATTTCGTTATGTGTGACCCAGCCTCTCGAGATGTTGTACAGCACTTGAGCGGTCTCGGCTCCCCGCGGAGCCCAGTTTTTCTATTCGGGAGCTCGAGTCAGAGCATAACAGGACGCACGAACAACCTCACTTCGAAGTAATCGAACAGCGGCCCAGAGACATCCAAGTTCGTCATTTCTGCCGACCAGTAGTTCATTTGTATGTTGATGTTTGAGTGGTAGTCTGTAGTCTCCCTCAACAATCTGGAGAAAAAGTTGGAGTGGCTTGAACCTACCTGCACTCCATGGGTTCCCCGTACTGAGCGCCCATTTCCCCTGCAAGTTAGCCGGAAGCACACCCCGGGCGCTGCTCCCAAGCAGATATCTTCCAAAGTTGAACATCAGCCACTCGAGATAGATGTCCCCTTGGTCGACTTGATAACTCGCGACGATCTGATCCGTCGACTTGCTCTTCCACTCCGAGCCTACGGTGCCCAACGACAGCGAGAACTTGTTGAGCGCCCCATCAAAGTCTGCAAAGTGCGCTGCCCGAAGCGAGGTGTAAGACGTCGGGAGCTTGCCGATGAGTTGCACAAGCGCAGAGTGCGGATCAGGTCCCTGGAACGAGAAGCCGTGGGCCTTGTCTCCAGCGTTTTGGTCATATTCCGTTCCTCCGACCCATGTGATCCAGGCTTCGGACGCTCCGGTCACTGAAATTGTGGCGTTCGCTGGGGATGAGCTTGCCGAGCAGGCAACAGTCCCTCCGGAGCTCATCACTTGTCCGAGTATCTCATACAGCATACCCGGCTCGCCAGCTGTTCCCCGCACTCTCAGTGTATGCGAGTCCAGACACGTGATGTTGGGTGTGGGGAGACCGGATTCGAGCGCCGAAGAAAACGCGAAGGTTGTGAGGGGCAGATGCTTTCCAGTTGAAGAGATATGATGTGTGCATGACTCAGTCGGATGAGAACAGAAGGTCTCCCTGCATCGGTTGAGTCTACACTCTGTAGATGCTATGTCTGAACACACCGAGTGAAGCCAGGGCCCGATTGCGTCCACGTGTTCCGGGCAACCCTGGTCAAGGTCGAGCCATCGAACAACGTTGGTCTGGTTCCCGGACAGGTCGAGCGTCGATACCAGATAACCAGCACCAACATACGACCCGTACGCTCCGGCATCGGTAGTCAGGGTTGTTATATCTGATGCCCATTAGTCACAGCTCAAATGAAAAGAACGGGTGGGAGAAGCAGGGACGTACTGGCAATGTCCCCCGTTTTACTGGCGAAAATCGCCGAGCGATACTGTTGCATAGCCGATGCCATCTCCTGGAGTTGGTCGGCTTGTTTGTTGCCTCCATTGTATGTCTACCGCAAGGGTTTGGTCCAATATATGAGATGTGGAAGGATGATACACACTGGATCTTGGAAAGGGCCGCCGGACCAAAGACTCTCGATGTTCAGTTGCATGCTTTCCTGTACCGTCCCACCCGGCGTCATCGCTGCATACGCAAATCTGGTCATTATCGTGCTCGCAGTCGTCTTCCGCTACATACCAGCCAGATATCCGTTCCCCACTGGCAGATAATCCAAGGACCACACTTTCCCCACATTCGAGAACCAGAGGCCATTTCCGCTGCGTGGGAAGTTTGCAGGGACACCAAGCGTGCCGACGACAGCGGCGGTCCCAAGCACGGTGTTCAGTGCGATGTTGCGGAGCCGCATCGGAAGTTCTAACCAAGTGCGCGATGTCGGCACATGGCACCAGTCCCGGACCCAGTTATATACCCATCCATGGGTGATCCACTGGGTCATGGGGGTATCCACGAGTGAAAGAAGGGGCATCTATCTGACAGTGTCCTTGGAATGAACCGCGGCGAAGCAGTGGCTCTGCGTGTATATCCGACGGGGTGCCTACAGGTGATGAATGTCGGTGTCGGCCTTTCTCATACATACTTGGGATGGAGGGGTCCACCCCGTGCATAAATTCCCGTTTAGAGGAGTCAAAGCAGAGGCTGGCGAACTTTGGCGCAGCAAGAACGGTTTGGAGCAACCTCGAAGAAGCGACTTGATCTTCGCCTCCGATCACGAGATCTGGCACGAGATCGTGCTCGGTTGCGCCGACGCAGACCTTCCAGGCTTCTGTTTACGCAGATGACCACCTTTCCAGACGCCAAATTCGTTCTTTGATACAGCTTTCCGACGAGGAAAAGGTTCCGGAAGGGTATGATACAAACATATAGAAAACAACATGAAAACCCGAAGATTCAGCGCGCGCGTGACACCAAGTGCCTCCAGGACACTTGCAACTTGTTGCACCAGCGGAGTTGACCGCAACCCAATCCCATCGCGATCTTGAGCCCTGCTCAAGCTTTGAACTGATACCGCGAATCCTGCGCGTAGTAGTTGAACGACGGGTGCATGACGATCGTCGGCGAGTAACGTGAGAACGGCATCTTAAAGATGTGTTTGTGGCCCCGCGTATTTTGAGTGACGGAGTATCTCAAAGTCGCGAGACAAGTGATGGTCACTGTAGGAATAGGTTAGGGCCCGATATCTAGACGAGACCAACGTGCGCACTGATCACCCATTCAAGCCAAACGAATGCCCGCAATGCACCGAGTTCGTGGCACCATTGGATGTCATCCGGGAAAGCTGCGATAGAACATCATGGATGGAGTTTGGTGAGTAGAAGTAAAACTTACCACTGGGGATAACGCTGCAATCTGTCGGCACCATCCTCCAGCGCGACGTTGAAAACGCATTGAACGCTGGAGTTCGGGAGATGGGATCAGATAAACACAAGTCGACACAGTTGCATGGCACCAACCGAGCCAGAAAATGCCCAACACGGCGAAAACGCCGACCTCAAACTGCGGTCGGCCCGTGAAGGCCGTGCTGGAGACCAAGTCGAGCAGGGTCATCGACCCTAGGACAATCGCGGTGACAATGGAAAGAATGAACGGGAACTTGTCGGCGACAACTATAGAAACCCGGGCCGTAGTCAGTCCAGAGTGGCGTAGCGATATCGGTTATTCTAACATACAGAAGAAGTCTTGGAACAGGTTTACTCGGGTGGAAAGCACCAGAACGACCAGATTCAGAACGAGTATGAGGACTATGGCGGCTTGAGAATCGCGCTTGTTGCTGGATGAACAACGACAGACCGTGGGCAGTGGCTTTGACTTTTCCTACAGTTGAGAAAGCCATGGTAGAAAGGGAGACAGACGCGAAGACGAAGTACACAGAGCCAGAAAGAATGAACCGAAACGAAAGAGCAGAGAGAATGTGATGGTCAGCAACTAGTACTGACTGGTCGAGAATCAAGCCAGCGATCACACCGGTATGATGACGCCCCCTGACGACGACCACAACAACTGCGTCAGTGCTTTTGCATATCACCAACTGCGTGTCAGCCTATTCGTGCGGTCGACGCTGGTCTGGCTCTGTATAGTGCACCCGTTCGAGCGTGGATCACGATGCTGACAACGAAATTTCTGAATTGCTTTGGCAGTTGCGACATCAGCATCAGGGATGGTCTTTCCGTTCGGGCGGAGCTCATTTCACCACGACAGTAGACACCGACGTACTTATATCGCCATCGATGGTCCCACGAAGTGACTAGGCAAGTATCGCTATCGATTATCTTGGTCAACGGGCGGCCGGTTATTTGCTCATCAGATCGGATCCAAGGTTCCCGCAGCACCACTCAGCACCATTCTCTATCATCTACCGATTCTACGGAACATGGCAGATATTAAAAGCCGCAGAACCTACTAGACGATATCAACCTTTGTCATCTCTTGAATTATTCATCAAAAGGTTTGTAATGCAAAAAATGTGCAACCAGATAAAATGCAGCGGCGATCGGGGTACTGGGCACCTCACCACACACCCCATTTGCCACCATGACCTCTATTCCAAAGCTCTTCCAACCTATTGTCGTTGGCGACATACAGCTCAAGCACCGCGTTGTGATGGCGCCCTTGACACGATTCCGTGCAGACGACAAGAATGTCCCGCTTTCCCATGTGAAAGAATATTATTCGCAGCGAGGGAGCGTTGAAGGGACTCTCCTGGTAACTGAAGCCTGCTTCATCGATGAACGTGCCGGGGGCTACCCAAACGTCCCCGGTATCTGGTCAGAGGCTCAGATTGCTGCGTGGAAAGAGGTGCACGGGTTCGGCGCCGTCAATCTCGACAAATCTGACGTGATTTACAGGTTACTGAGGCTGTGCATGCCAAAGGGTCGTTCATATACCTTCAGCTGTGGGCCCTTGGACGCGCTGCTCAGCCTGGTGTCTTGGGCGAGAATCCCTACGTCTCGGCCTCCGACGTCCCGCTTAGTGACCGGCCGGCGGACGCGATCAAGCCTCGCCCCCTGACGAAGACAGAGATTTCCGAATACGTGCAACTCTACGCACGTGCGGCTGTCAACGCGGTGGAGAAGGCTGGATTCGACGGGGTGGAGATCCACGGCGCAAACGGATACTTGGTCGACCAGTTCTTGCAGGACGTCTCCAACACCCGCTCAGACGAGTACGGAGGAAGTGTCGAGAACCGGACCAGGTTTGCGCTGGAGGTTGTGGATGCTGTCGTTGCCGCAGTGGGCCAGAAGAAGTCGGCGATTCGTCTCAGCCCGTGGAATAACTTCCAAGGTAAAGTCGGCCTTCCACTTGAGTGGTTGATTCTGAATGCGATTCGATTCTAGACATGGGCATGGAGAATCCCAAGCCCACCTTCTCATATCTTTTGGAACAAATCAAAGCCCGTCACCCAGAGTTGGCGTATATACACGCTGTCGAGCCCCGATCCAAAGGCTTCGAAGTGCTCGATGATTCGAGTTTGCCGGAGGGAACGTCCAACGATTTCATCCGCGACATCTGGACATCCTCCGACAGTCCTAGACGTCTCGTTTCCGCCGGTGGATACAGCCGGGAGGCTGCCATCAAGGACGGCGAAAAGGGCGATCTCGTCGCTTTTGGCAGACAATTCATCTCTAACGTAATATTTCCCCTAAACCCGCTTGATGACTGTCGCTGACTGTTCACCAGCCCGACCTGCCGGCCCGACTACTCCATGATTATTCTTTAAACCCTTACGATCGCACGACGTTCTACTCCGCGGGAACCTTGGACCCGAAGGGATTTACCGACTATCCGTTTTATGACGCTAAATCCCAACTTTGAAGGTCGCGCGCCGAATGATACCTGATAATAAACTCATTGTAGATATACTGTCTAGAAGTTTTGACTAAAGATACAGAATTTAAAACTTATACAAAGATGCTTACTGAGGTACTGCCCTTGGGTACCTGGGCCTGAGGCGATTCGGTACTGACTGGTAGGTGATCGAATGGCCGATATTAAGTACAAGCGCGAAAGTATTTTCACGTGACCGTGATATGTCTCACGTGAGCCTAATGCATTGCTTTACGCGTTACGCAAAACGTATCGGAAATGTATCAGAGAAGGGAATGCTGTCCTACCGCGCTCTCAAGCTCACGGGGGCAAACCGGGTTAGCGAATTCGTGCCTTCTGTCCTTTCTGTGCCTACCCGCATCGCAGTTGTTCCATTCTCCAGGGCACACTCCAAATGTGGACGAGGTGAATAGTCACGGTGAGTACTAGTGCTTGCAGATCGAAATCATATTTATGTTTCGAAAAGTTCAGTCTATGCCTAGTACACATGTGCAGTTCCCCAACCTGTCGGTACGTTTCCGTCTGATTTGGCTGTAGCATTGCTGAATTCCGATTCTCAGTCGGCAGCACGGCTGCATATCATACCGAAGGCTTCCAATGTGAACTCCAGACGCGTCTTTCGCACCTCTATCTCCTCTCTGAAACTTTCTCAGAATATCAGTGGAGCAGAATCCACCTTGGCCGCTGTCCAACGCGCTGTCCGAAGCGACTTTGGCGAGCAATATACCGTTGAACTTTTTGGGAGTGCTCGGACAGGATTAGCCACAGCGAAAAGTGATTTGGACATGGTCATTCTCGTGTGTATGTTTTGACCCTTGTCGGTCGAATTGACTCGTCTCTGCCAGGACCCCAGTCAACCACACGGATATCTACCCGGAAAAGGACCTAGGAAACCACCTCGTGCGCATTACTCCGTTTGCACAATGCATTGCTCACACTCTGCTTCTTTGTAGCTATCTATATTATGCCGTGAGGCATGCTTCGTTGAACGTTTGTTTTACCAGCTCACACTCGTCGCAGCCGGTTGGCAAGAGCGCTGAAAGCTCGTGGCTTCACGATCAGGCTGGTGTTAGGCGCAGCCGCTGTTCCAATCGGTCAGTTTAGCGTGACGTCAAAACCCGGACGGGCTTGAACGTTTCAGTGAGGTTCAAGGATCCGGAGACTAATCTCATGGTGGATCTGAACGTCAATGAACGGCTCGGTATTGCAAACTCGGATCTGATCAAGCGCTATTGCGAGCTCAATCCAAGGCTTGGCCCTGTGATTGTGGCCATCAAGGAATGGGCCCATTCACTTGGACTGAACACTCCCGGCGGCATCGGCAGCCACCCTGCGACCTTCAGCAGTTACGCGCTGTCTATGATGAGCATCGCTTTCTTCCAGGTACTTTCTTCGTCAGGATACGGTGTCCTGTCCTCACAACTACTTAGTCTCAGGGACTGTTACCGAATCTCCAAGACCCCAGCGTGCTTCCGTCAGAACCTTCTGTCTATTTCTTCAAACATCCCAAAAAGACTGTAGTGGTTCCCTGTGATATCCGTTACGGGCAAGCCGATGGCTGGACGGCGCCTAATGACGTCCGGTGGAGGATTTGCTCCAACGATGGTTCAAGTACGGTGGAGGCATACCATTCGTCAGTATGACTGACAAGCGCTGGATAGATTCTGGAGCTCGGAGTTTGACTTTGAGGAGCAAGCCATCAGCATCCGGCACGGCGGGATTGTTTCGCGGTCCGCGATCCGTGAAGAAGGGTTGCTGACATCTCCTAGATATTTATGGAACATTGACCCGTTCATACGAGCCAAGGTGGGTTGCTGTGACCGTTGTCTGTTCTGTTCTCATCTTTGGGGACCAGAATTTGTCGCGAAGCGTTGGCCCGACTTCTCTTGCCCGATTCCAATTGGACTGTCAGCGACGGGCTAGTTATGCGTGATACCACCTAGATGTGATGAGGCGATAGTAATAATAATTTATAATTGTCTGTCGTTGAAGACGGTCACTTGCCTCGATACGCCCCGATAGTCTGCGCTCCCCTGATCAAGGGTTGTGTGCGTCGAAATTTGTATGGTGCGTTGTTTCGAGCGCTCTCTCACCGTAATTGTCCCCATTCAGTACAGCCATCTTCATTCGGAAGGTTTGACAAGTGATGTATCAGTCATCCACAGACCTAATCTACTTCTTACTTACACCCTTGACCCTCAGTCGCTGGCGGCCACCTCTCCCTCGATCCTCCCCCCTACGCACTTCCAGTCAAGTGAACAAACAATATGTCCTGGAAACTCGGCTCGTCAAAGAGTGCGTCTATAGAATGTTTTCAAGAGGGGTCCAAGCCTGATCAACACCAGAAACCAAGGATACGAAGGAGACCGGAGTCGTCTCTCGTTCGGTGACACCCATCCCGTCGCGTCCGACGACTCCCAAGGCAAATGGAGACCAGTTCAGGAGCGGGATGCTTACGATTCGCATCTTCTCAGGTATGTGATATCTTCGATTGGGCGTTCACAGCGGGGAACACTATTCGCAGGCCGCGGGTTCTCTCTTCCATCAGATGTCGCTGTCCCGGAAGCTATCCAGAAGGCGCTGTCGTCGGCACCGGCGCGCAAGCCCGTCAACAATCGTGAAAGCATACAACGCAAGCGCTACCTTCCCTATGTCGTCCTGGAATTCGACAAGAACGAAATCCTGATCGATGCGCTGGATGGGGACCTTTCTAGCCCAGTCTGGAACTACAGGGCACATTTGTGAGTGACTGGCGACGCCTTGGTGTTTCGAGTCTACATATCTCACAGCGATGTATCGCGGACCTCCACTGTGTCCGTGTCTGCCTATCTCCGAACGGATGCAGCCGTTCAAGGCCAAGACGACATGGGCAATGACTTATTGATGGGCCGAGTGGATCTGACTCCCGCACTGGATGGTCATGCAAGTCATCCCACCCTTCTGCTGTGTCGAAAGCTGAGACTCCATCAGCACTCGTCTGATCAGTGGTATACTGCCACTGCCGGGACTGGATCGTTCCACTTAAAGATCGACTTTCGGCCCTCACGCGATGAGCCATTGACGATCGAGGCGTTTGATCTGCTGAAGGTTATCGGGAAGGGAAGCTTCGGCAAGGTGATGCAAGTGAGGAAGAAAGATACGCAACGAATCTACGCTCTGAAGACGATTCGGAAAGGTGCACTCCTTCGCGGATCATTCCATCCACGCTGACGGTCTATAGCGCATATCGCCCAACGTCCCGGAGAAATCACCCACATCCTTGCAGAGCGAACAGTGCTCGCCCTCGTCAACAACCCCTTTATCGTCCCGCTCAAATTCTCATTCCAAAATCCCGTGAGCGCCTTTGTGTCTCGTGTGACCTTCATCTCAAGCATACATTCCAGGACAAGCTCTATTTGGTCATGTCGTTCGTCAACGGAGGCGAACTGTTCTACCACTTGCAGCGCGAAGGCAAATTCGATCAAGACCGGAGTCGTTTCTACGCTGCCGAATTACTCTGTGCACTGGAGCATCTACACGGATTCAACGTTGTTTACCGAGACCTCAAGCCTGAAAACATCTTGCTTGACTACACAGGCCACATCGCATTGTGCGACTTTGGTCTATGCAAACTCAACATGTCGGAATCAGAGAAGACCAACAGTGCGTTCTGGCCGTGTTGACACGCTCGGACAGAGGCTCATTTCATTTGACAAGCCTTCTGTGGCACACCCGAATACATTGCACCCGAACTGCTAGAGAGCCAGGGCTACACAAAGACTGTTGACTGGTGGACCCTGGGCGTGTTGCTGTATGAAATGATGGTGTGCTGCGTCGCTCGTTTCTCTGTATAGCAACTCACCGTACCCTAGACAGGATTGCCTCCATTTTACGACGAGAATGTCAACACTATGTATCAGCGCATCCTCTCCGACCCTCTCAACTTCCCCCCGGACATGTCGTCGGAGGCCAAGAGTGTGATGACCGCTCTGCTCCAGAGAGACCCGACCAAACGACTTGGAGCCCATGGCAGCGAAGAGATCAAAAAACACCCCTTCTTCGCAAAATACATAGACTGGCCCACGTAAGAAACCTGATGAATGCGTGTTATCTTCTCATTGGCCGTTGTTTCAGGTTGCTCGCCAAGAAATACCCGACACCGTTCAAGCCAAGTGTTGTACGTGCAGATTTCTGATGCCGTCCGGAGTCTTTTCTTGACCGTCCTTTCAGGAATCGGTGCTCGATGTCGCGAATTTCGATGCGGGTGCGTGCTGTGATCAATATCACTTCCGTGTGATATCTAACGATCTGGCAGATTTCACAAACGAACTGCCTCAAGATTCGGTGGTTGCCGACTCGGCCCTCTCGGAAACTGTGCAGGACCAGTTCCGTGGCTTCACCTATAATCCAGCAAACGAACACCTCAGCGAAAGTGTCAGCTATCCTAGCAACATGGCTTGAACGTTACTTCCATCCAAAACTCGGACACGCTTCCTGTACTTGTCACTTGTCTTTACTTACATAAATTGATTCGCGGTTTCCTGTTATGTCGGAGTGCACGTGCCGTGCAAACTGCGGCGCGAGGCGGCGGCAGAGTCGGAACAAACATACCCATCATTCCCGTCAGTGGCGAGACAACGGCGCGTGGCGAGTTGTGGGTCCGATGCTGTTCACTTGACGCCTTGTGTGGCGTGCTGTGGCGGATGTAAACTCACGCTCCTTCTTATTCGTTACCTCCACCCCACACCCGTCCCCTGCCCTTGTCCCCCTTTTATGGAAAGCCCCACTGCTCCCGGCCGGTTCAAACGCAAGTTCGCACAGGGGGCCCATTCCCCGCAGCCCGAAACCGATTCAGTGTCTGAGAACGAGAGCCCGCCGCCCGCCAGGATCGAGCACCATCCGAAGGAGAAGCCCAAGGTGCGTTCTTGTAGTGGGGATGGGACACCCAAGCCAACTCCGCCCAGGAAAACAAGTGTGAGACTTGCGACCTCCGCTTTGGGCGTGAAGGAGACCGCCGACGGCATGAGCGTATCATACATCAGCCGAGGGGAACGCACAAATGCCCTCATTGCGGGAAGACACTGAGCCGAGAGGACGCTGTCAAGCGCCATATCAAGCGG